GGGGTTGTTCCCCAGGACCTGATTCACCGGGGGAGCCTGCTGAGGATTCCCCTGGTGTGGATTGTAATCTTTCATCTCGTACTCGTCCTCGGACTCGCTGCTCAAATGGACGTCTATGCGCTCCTCCGTAGCCAGTCTAGCTCGCTGTTGTCTCCGGAGTTGGCGACAGGTGCATTCAATCTCTGGATTCAACGGCAGTAAACCTCCCGACTGGCTACGGGTCATGCACTACCTGCACACACTCAAGCAAGCAAACCCGTGAAGGCACAAGTGGGACAAAGCAAACAATGCGAAAAGAAAAGCTAAATTAACAGAAATCACTTTTCTTCAACAACCTAGCCTTCCCCGGCAACGGCGCCAAAAACTTGACTCACTCCTACTGTCACTCTAGAAAATGGGCAAGTGAAACCACTTCCTAAAGCGTAGTATAGCGGGTTTGGGTTTTAATGTCAACACGGGTCCTAGATTTGATGACTACTCGGTGAATTCTTGTTATCTAGCAATGAAACTTTAGTGCAGGTTTAAACTAACAAACAAGCAAAGCAACTAAACGGTTGTTTTCGGGTTAAGAGAGGTTACCCGAATATGGTTCCCCCTAGACTGCAATTAAGTCGGATTGCAATTACCAAGTTCAATTCCTATGATAGTTATACTGCGGAAGGTTCTTAAGTAGTCTGAAGTCTCGACTAAAGGTCTCCAGACCCTCTCAATTTGAGTCTCAAGCGACCGACTAACCTCCACCAGAGTAAACAGATTGAGGCCCTAACGAACAAAACCTCCACTACTGAAGTGTATTCGGTACAGAATAGTGAGTTGGCTCCTCGACTAAAGTCACCAACTCCCTACCTTCAATCAAGGATGCTCTATCAACCTAGGCAGATATTCTCATTCTAGGTTAAAGCAGAAACAACAGGAATTTGATCAGGATTCATGCCATTCAATCATTCAAACCTCAATTGAATATAATCAAATCATAGAATCAATACTTGGGTTCATACAATCAAACCTAACATACAAATCTAGGGTTTCCCATACCCAGATGAATGGGAGAACTACTCCATGGAGAAAGAAGCAAAAGCAGATTCAGACGCGGAAATCATACTGTGAAGGATGGATTTCTGCTCCTGGACGTTGATCGGCACTTCTCCAAGCTCAAGCCAAGCTCCAATGGTGATGAAGATCAAGATAGAGCACTTGGGAACTCTTGTTCGTCGCTTTCTCTCTCTAGGAATCGCTCTGTCTCTCTAAAACTCGAATCCCCTTCTGTTTTGGCTGAAATCTGCCTAAAAGGGCGTCACTGGGCAAAACACGGTCGAGGGCACGGCCGTGTTCTGCTCCAGCCCGCCCGTGCCCTTGCCAAGTGTTAATACACGGCCAGACTTATGGGGAAAACACGGGCGTGTTTTTGGTGGACACGGCTGTGTTTTGTCTCAGTCCTGCCCGTGTTTGGACTAGTGTTTGACAGACTCAGATCAAGTCTCGGTAGTAAAAACACGGTCTAAGGAACACGGCCGTGCTTTGATTTAGGCATGCCCGTGTTTTAGCTGCAGCTCGACCGAATGACTTCTGAATGTCCCGAAACTCGTACTTAGCCTTTCCTTCGACGTCTGGGACCTGAAATATGACAAACTAGCACAACCCGGCGTAAAATAGGCCAAAAATACATGACTATGCCCCTCAGACGGATAAGAACTAGGGGTGCAAATATGTGCAATTACATCGTTATCAACAGCCAAGAAGACTGTTTGCCATCCTCCTGATGAAGCTCACATCTTCATTTCCCAGCTCCATTCTCCCGGTGGTCATGTCTTTAATCCGCTTAATCCCGTCAGCCTAAATCACAAAACAATAAGTTAGGAAACAATTTAGGAACCAAAACAATACATTTAATTATGTAGAGTGGAATATACTTACTAATGCACCATCGGCAGCACCCTCCGGAGTCATATAACGGACCGATGTTTGCCGATATCGATCCAAGTATGGGTCATGATACCCCATTCGACCCACTGTTGATGGAGTGACAATATCTTGCATTTGTTGGTTCACCCACATGGTGATGAATTTCTCCAGCTTCAAGGGCCAATCTCGAGTACCTTGCCGCTCATCTCGACCATGGAAGGCCTTTTGACTATCGGGGACCTCCAACGGAATGCACTGCTCCCGACCAAACTGACGGAGGCATCGATCCGGCAAGTGCCACTCCACGGTCCCAAAACAAATTAGAGGGACCCTCGTGCACCATTGGCCGATATGCTCGGGGAATTGCTGGAGATGCCAATGAACGATGTTCTCCGGGTATGGATCGAAGATGATCTACATGCGCAAAATGAGTAAATTAAGATAGTAAGAATTGGAAAAATACATGTCTTCCATGGTAAAAACGTATAAATGGATCGAAGTATAGAAGTTACCTCTCCTTCCCAAAGTCGCTCAAACCTCCTCCGATACTCATCCAACTTGTGTTGGGCAAGGTTGTCACAAGTTGTGTGTCCGAGCCACCTTATTAATAAAACAATAATCGAAATTACAATAAGCTAAAACACAAGGGAAAATCAACCAAGAAAAAACATGATGGGTACGAGAAGTTTACCTTGTACCATAAGCTTCCCCTCTTAGGGGATGATCGATTGGCCAATCCCTGTCCGGACGTTGTACCGGTGCAATCCATGGCATATGCTCCCAAGCCCAAAATTGGACGATGAACATTGCGCCGCCGACCTCCCTCACAGCTTTTAGAGAGGCATTGCACAAATTGTGGTAGATATTAGCTAGGCAAGCGGATGCCCAACTATACTCCCCCATCTCCTCCCAACTACCGAGGATGATCCTAAGCCATCCACAACTAAGAAGATTGCTTGCTTTTTTGGAGAAGAACACTCATCCGATCATGCCAATGAGATAGACCCGAGCATATCTCTCCTTCTCATCCTCCGGACTTTCCTCGGTTAGGGGATGACTCTCGTAATGGTCTCTATAGTACTTCGTCAACCAAGTAATTGACACTTGGTGTTTCCTCATTGGTTGCATGCGATCGCATCAACTCACCCCTTCACTGGTACTTTTACTCCCAAAACACTATAGATGAAATGAACCCAACCGGGCATACCGTCACAATCATCGGGGGGGGGGGGGGGGGGGGGGGGGTGATCACTCACGCACACCGGTTTGCCGTCGATGGGGAGATGGGTTAGGATGGCGACATCCTTTAGCGTGATGGTGGCCTCTCCTTCTCTAAAGTTGAAGCAATGGGTCTCCTTTCTCCATCTCTCAACTAGGCCGGTGATGAGTTGGCGATCAACTTTGATGCCGTTAAAATGCCTAATCGAGTCCAACCGTGCCCTTTTGAGAAAGGGCAAGATAGCTGGGTGGAATGGGAGCACATTGGTCGTACCCCTGTAGCGGATTATTGCTTGTGCCTCCTAGGGAAAATTTACACGTTAATTATTATATATTAGTAAGGGTTTATTCCTTATAACTAAATTAATAAATTAAATTATTTAACTTCAAGCAGAATTTTATTATCATAAAAAGACATTTCATATAATTAACATAATAGCATTCTAAATTAATAATAATTTAAAGAGATACATACACATTATCATAAAACAAACATCCTAAATTAATTAACATAATAACATTCTAAATGAATAATAATTTAAAGAGATACATACATATTATCGTAAAATAAACATACTAAATTAACTAAATTAAATGACATTGTTAATGAATCATAATTTAAAGAGAAACATACATATTCAAATGTTTGAAATTAATAAAATTCTTTTTGTACACATCAAATAAATCGTAAGGGTTGTTTGGTAAATTATTTAATCGTGTTGGTTGTTTTAAATAATTTAATCGAATACAAAGCAACACTCATTAGACTCTTAGAAGAGGTATACATCTTCTTAGAAACGCAGTCTTTTTGACAGAAAAAGGGGGGATCCGAGGATCTCTTAATACCCGATTTTCCCAGGGAATGGGAGGATATGATAATCACTTAAAACCCCATTTCCTTAGACGTGCATCTCTTTATAAAGAGTCGAAGTAAGTGGCGCTATGTATTCGATTAAATTATTGAAAACAACCAACACGATTAAAAATTCAACATAAATATATTTTATATTCCACTAAATACATTAACAAAATAAAAGAAGGACAAATGGTAAAGAATTGTATGTACCGGGTGAGCGTTCCAAACATCCATTGACCGATGGTTGGGTTGGTCGTACAAGTCGGTTGGATCCAACGGTCCTTGCTCGAGATAATACCGTTGGTTGTATATATCCACGTCCTCCCCAACCTAAGAGAAAATAACAACGAGGTTAGTACATAGATTAATTAAAAAGCTTATAACAACAACAAAAATTAAACCAGAATAATGAGTACGTACCGCTTGAAATTCATCAACATAAACTCCTTCTCCTTGCCACCAATCGGCCATTTTTTTGGCGCAATTCGGACAGAGCTTCGGCTCGGCGGGTTTTGAGGAAAAAACCTAAGAAATGTTTTCTGATGGCAGATCGGACTTAGCCGCAACCAACATACCACTATTTCCTAGGCTTTTGGGAGGGGGAGGGTTTAGAGAGATAAATTGTAGAGAGAGAAGGAAGAATGGGTTGTGGTGTGAATAAATGAGAGGGGAAGGGGGGGTATTTATACCCATCAGACCGCACCCTCCAGGGGCGATCGGGTAATTTTGCCCTCGCGCGGATCGCTCCCTTCCGATGCGATTTGCGCTTCCCTAGGCATGGATTGCTCCCTTCCGATGCGATTTGTGCTTCCTTGGGCACGGATTGCTCCGCTGGCAAGCGATCTGGAATCTTCGGCGCGGATCGCTCCGCTGGCAAGCGTTGAGCCGCCCGATCGTCCCTCCATCTAACGATCTTAAAGATCGTTCCGCAGCAGAACTAAATCGCACTGACCTATTGCGATTTGTTATATGGAACGCACCCCTCTGATGCGTTTTATATATAGAACGCATCTTTCCGGTGCGTTTTACCTTTAAAACGCATCTTAGGGGTGCGTTCCAAAAAAATTAGTGCTAGTTTTGTAATTTTTTTTATATGGGTGCTAGTTTTGTAATTATTTTTTTTAAAGGTGCTATTATTGGAAAAATCTCTCAGTTTGGCGTATAGTTTAACTTGTTTGAATGTCCAAATTTACATTGAAATGGAATTAGCTTATAAGTAATAACTTGTCATAGCCAATAGATGAATTTAACAAGTTCACAGAATGGTATTTTAGTGGTATAATTATGATTTAACGGATCATACATTTTCTTTTGGGCGATTCTGGATATCATAGTGGTACTTGAGAAAAGAAGTTCAAGGACTTACTTGACCTGTTATCCTTATTGAGATAGCTCTTTAACAAGTCAGAAGATTTTGTCTTTGTTTCCTTTTCACAGTTGTTCATGATTTGTATACTTTGGGTTGTTGGTTCGTATATTTGTACTATCTAGGTTGTATAAACTTTAACATTAGTTTTATAATTTTATTATATGATTTTGGTTAAAAACTAAAAGGACAAAAAAAAGGTGAGAATATAGCTTTCTTATTCATGGGTTCCTTGATATAAGAAGATATGCTCTTTATAGACACATATTACACAACCTCTACATTCTTACAATCAAAATAGATGAATGTGATAATGAATGGGAAATGGGGTGAGGGATTACATGTAACACCAAATAGTGCATCTAATGTAATGGTTATCCACATGAATATTTACATAATACTCCTTCTTGGATGACCACTAGATCGCATTACGCTATCTCATGCTGCCTTATTAAAAACCTTACCAGGAAACCTCTACATTCTTACAATCAATATACATGATTATCGGTATCATTTTTCCTATTGATAGTCCGTAAGATTCTCTGATGTGTTAAATTATAGATCTTTAACCAAATATATTCACTCATGATCTTCAAAATAGTGATAAAGAACTTGAGTGAAATATGTTTTGTTCTATCCCCTTTAATGTATCTTTCCTTTAATTATTTTTTTGTTTATCATTTTTATTATTAGAAAGTAAACAAAATTAAGAAATTAAAAAAAATTATTCCCTGGTAGCTGACGTGGCAAGTGAGGTGGACCTTGACTAACAATCAACTCGATTGACCGTCTAATTTGATGGGCAAACCTGCCTTCGGGCCAAATAAAGAAGTATGCTATATAGTTTAGACTAGAATAGCAATTTCTGATAACACTAGCAAAAATAGAAAGTTTGTCTATAGTTCGGGCCAAACTAAAATATTAAAAAAAAAAGCTACAATACCTCTTTCAGGAACCCACTCGGGACTCGGGAGTCGCTCGCACAGCAGAAACGTTAAAATGCCGCCCCGTGATTTGTTTAACAGACAACGAAGGGTTCCTAGGAACGTCCATTGTGCCACGTCATCGAGTCAGTCGATGATTCCGTAGGGTGGCAGTACACCTTATCATAGCACTCCATCGTCCCTACTCCCTTCCTTACCTTCCTTCGCACAGGAAGTGCCATATCATCACCCACAGACTCTATCGAACTGCACGGATTGCTCATTTTTCTCCGTCAATCCGAGAAGCAGCGAACCTCCGTGGACTCTGGAGCTCTATCTCCAATGGCTTCCCTGCTAAACACAGCTCTGTCCGTCGGTTTGACATCAAATGGGCGCGCCAGACGAGTTCGGGCTCGGTCACTCGTTTCTCCAGCTTCTGTATCTTTCTCAAGTGAGTTCCCTCGCGAGACGCTCAACCTGTTTGAAGTCATTTCCGATTCCTTTCCCTCTGTCGCCAGCTGAATGGACTAATCTGGACTTTGCTGTTTTCCTTCTCCTTCTTGTTTGCAGGGCGTCGGCTTACGATTATAGCTGCAGAGACTGATACCAATGAAGGTTTCCAGCTTTCTTTCCTTCTCATTTCATCTCTTCATAACTGCGAGGTATTTCATGTTCCGAGATGAAGCTTAAACGGACTTGCGCTTCGTTTTGTTACAGGGACGGTAAAACCTCAGGTACCAGATAAGGCGCCAGCCGGTGGCGGCTCGAGCTTCAACCAGCTTCTCGGCATCAAAGGAGCTGCTCAGGAGACTGTAAGTTTCTCTTTTTCTCTGTGTAATTTATGCTCGATAATTTCCAAATTAGGCCTCGGGAGTTTCTTCTTTGAGTAAGTAGCCTTTGCGATGCTTATGTTGCAGAATAAATGGAAAATTCGTCTTCAACTAACAAAACCCGTTACTTGGCCTCCCTTGGTCTGGGGAGTAGTTTGTGGAGCTGCTGCTTCTGGTAATTCCTTCTTTAGTTCCCTAGATTTTTGTAGCTGTTATATCCATGGCTTCCTTGCCGAACTTCTTTAGACAAATTGCAAATGGGTTGCAGGAAACTTCCATTGGACATTGGAGGATGTTGCTAAATCAATAGTATGCATGATGATGTCTGGCCCATTTCTAACTGGCTACACACAGGTAAATAACCCCATGCCATGCTTTATAAGGTTCAGGGTTCTCATGTTTGATTGATATGGATTTTGTTTACTCAATTTGTCTTTGTTGTTGTTGTTGATGATGATGATGTAGACGATAAACGACTACTATGACCGTGAGATTGATGCGATCAATGAGCCTTATCGGCCAATTCCATCTGGAGCCATTTCTGAGGATGAGGTCTGCAATATCAAACTAAATCATGAGTTACATTTCAACCTTGCACGGCTATATATGTGCTTAATTCCTCTGGGAACTTCTTACAGGTTATTACTCAAGTCTGGGTGCTGCTTCTTGGAGGCCTAGGCTGTGCTGGTATATTGGATGTTTGGGTATGTGCGGGAGCCGGATGTTGTGACTGTTACCTTACTATAACATCATTCCTGATTCACGACTCCTTGTCTTTTATAGGCAGGACATACCTTTCCCATAGTTTTCTATCTCGCTTTGGGTGGGTCATTGCTCTCGTATATATACTCTGCTCCACCTCTAAAGGTAGTTTCTTGTCTTGTTTCGGAGAGGCCACACTGCTGGTGCTTGATCTTAATTTTGTCAAGAAATGTGTCTGAACATTTTTTCCCAATGTTATTGCAGCTTAAGCAGAATGGATGGATTGGGAATTTTGCGCTGGGCGCGAGTTATATCAGTTTGCCTTGGTACAATATCTTTGGCTACTTTGTCTCAGTTCTTATAACAGCTTGCTACTGTTAAGTCATCTGTTTCAGTGCATATCTTGTGGACTTGTATACGAGTTAGTATTTTGTTATTCTTAGCAAGTTAATATAAACATTGAATTTGGGCTAATTGAATATCAGTTAGATAGAAAGATATAGCATTTGATGGACCATTAGACGGCAAAGGGAAAACCATAACCTACAATGTCAATTTGTTTTGAGTGCATGTTAGGCTATATTCTAGTGACCAAACTTGCCTGCAAGGGTTGGCACCCTCTATGAAACCAAATGAATGTTAGGATACCATCAAAAATTTTGTAGTTGCCAATCCTACAGACTGCAGTATATGTGTACAGATGTTGATCTCCCTTCTGTGGATAGGTGGGCGGGTCAGGCTCTGTTTGGGACACTTACACCTGACATAATTGTTCTGACACTACTGTACAGCTTAGCCGGGGTATGAATTTATCTGGTTGATTAGTTACTTCATTTTCACCTTTTATTTTCAATCATTCATGAATCAATGACTGCTCACAGCTGGGAATTGCGATTGTAAATGACTTCAAAAGTATTGAAGGAGATCGAGCGATGGGCCTCCAGGTGAGTGCCTTGATCATGTGTGAAATGTGTTCTTGATAGGCCATTTCGATAGTTTCTATCTTAAACTTTTTCATGTCCTATTTTGTTTTGGCAGTCGTTACCTGTGGCTTTTGGTGCTGAGGCTGCTAAATGGATCTGTGTTGGTGCCATCGACATAACTCAGATATCTATAGCTGGTATGTAGGATTGGTAAACTTTGATATGCTAGGTTGTGAAGTCTCCATTTCATGGTCCCCTGCATGACTACATTGCTGAACAAAAACATTTCAAATACTTTCCTAACACCACAAGCTCCAGATTCTGTTCTATGGTTACTTTCTTACTGTGAGGTAAATGTAATTTTATCAGGCTATCTCCTTGGAGCTGGAAAACCATATTATGCCTTGGCCCTACTCGCTTTGATTATTCCGCAGGTCTTTTTTCAGGTAAGCCAAACGCTAATCAATTCTTGAATTCTGTGGACCAGTCCGCATCATTAGCTTTGTCGTGGAGGTTAACTTCATTAGAACTGCTAAAGCACGGATTTTCTAAAGAGATCCAGACTTGTTATATTGCGGTAGTTTTTTCTACATGAGAAAAAGCAAATCGAAACACACAATGAATATTCCTGCGTGTGCTCTTGCAGTTCCAATATTTCCTGAAGGACCCTGTCAAGTACGACGTCAAGTATCAGGTAAGTTGGTGATCTCCATTCTACGACATTAGCCAGTTTTCAAATCTTGTTAATTTGCTTGCATTGTACTGTATGCCTAACAATAACAAACACAATCTCTCGACCGCATGCATTTGCTTCAGGCGAGCGCCCAGCCATTTCTGGTGCTAGGTCTGTTGGTGACTGCTCTTGCAACTAGCCACTAGGCTTTTATCCTCAAACAAAAGTTCCATAATTACGAGGAGACGGAAGAACGGCATCTACAGCAAGACTGATGACACGAACAGCTTTCAGCCGTGGACAGGCATGCACCGGGAGAACGAGAGGCCCTCCCATATTCAAGAGTAGTCTGAGCTTTTGGCCTCCCCAAGTAGTCGAGGCTTCTGGTGGTTTTATGTCTCGAGAGCTAAAATTCAGAATCAGCTAAGAGCTTTATATCCCTTTTTTTTTCCCCCTCCGTGGAAATGTAGCGTTTTCCGGTAGTGTGTTGGAATGGAATCCCGGCATCGTTTTGTTGATTATCAACGTTCCATTGTTCTTTCTTTGTGCCTTTGTTGGAACGTGAAACCTGCGGTTCTCTAAAATCAAGTCATTTCTCTAAAATCAACTTCTGCAAACCTTCATATTTTGTTGACACAAAAAGACACAGGAGTCCGTTACAGAACGGGGACAGAACCCAGGTACGTACAGTACAAAGCGTTGCCGATTCCCGGAAAACATAGCCAACCCAAGCTAACAAAAGTACCACCACTTGCCTTTCTATGAGTGGCGATGTGGGCTGGTCAACCCTAGCTACATAGAAGAAACAACGGCTACATACATTGCATCCTCCACTCCACCGCTTTGATTATTATTTTTTTACATTACATTGGGTCTCCTAAAACAGCTAGCTACATGATGATACTAGTACAGTTTGAAGACGACGGCATGGCAGGCAGCAGTTGGGCATCTATCTAGTCTAGGAAGTGCGAGTCTTGAACTTGGACTCGTCGATCTGGATCCCTTCCTCGGCAGCACGCTCCCCGCCGGACTTGTCCATGGTGCTGAGCCCACCCTTTCGGCCCATCTCCTGATAGCCTTCAGTCCCCATCTGCTCCCTCCTCGTCTCCCCTCCTTTGTGGCCCATCTCCTTGTACCCTTCCGTCCCCAGCTGCTCCCTCCTCGTCTGCCCTCCCCTGCTCCTCCCTAAGCAGTACACAAACACAACAGAACGACGTCGCTCTCAACCTTGACCACATGAATGAATGAAACAGTGAACAAATTTTATTCTATATATATATATATATATACCTTCAGCAAGATGCTCCTGAGCTTCAAGGCTCTTCCCGCCGGTTCCCCCAGGGACAACCGTCTCCCCCTGCCTAGCCCTCTCGTCCAGCTCCGCCCTGCTTTCCTGTCCCGACGCCATTTTCCGCTAAAATCTTCTTCTCTTTTCAGTGATCACTCACTCGATGCACAATGCAACGCAACGGGGTGTGTGGTGTGGTCTTTATATAGAGACTAGAGAGAGACTTGCCTTTGCCTAGACTGAAGAAGCGCGGGGGAGTTGGAAAAGGAGGAGACCCTGAGTTGACACGCAAGGTGGACACACGTTGCGAAAGCAGGATGGATGGTTGGAGCTAGCTGTTGCTGCCTTACACGTGGATCCCAAGCGTGACTCGATCAATGGTAAGCTCGCACGACTCCTTCCTTCCACAGCCACTCAGTGGTTAAAAATTTATTTCTCATTTTGACAAAATTATATTATTACTACTATTCTTCAATCTTCATCTTGATCTTCCCCCTTTGCCTCATCGTTAAACCGCCATCCGTACGGTGGCCCAGTCCAGGTTTGGGGCCTAATGGGCCAGCTAACTAGTCTTGCATAGTTGGACATTTGGTCCTAATGCATTGGGCTACCTCACTGCTCTTTAGACCCAACTGAGAAGGGTTATGGCCCATAACTGTTATGTTAGTAGAAAAGGGTAAATCCTAAGCCGTTCAGTTTGAATTCTCCAGGTCCAACGGAAGCGACAAAAAGTCAAAAAAATAATTCCCAGTGAACGCACGTGACGTGACGACACGCGATGTCCAAGTGTCAACCAACTATCAAACAGAAGAATTACGAGAATGCCCTTTTCAACAAAGCCGATTCGATTCGCCCACAAACGGAATGCCAAAATCGTCCAATCATTTTCAGGAGCGGAGAGAAGAGAAGCAATCCCAATTTCTCTTTTCTCCTCTGGTCGCTGCTGCTCCCTTCTTCACCTACCCCTCCTCCGATCAAGTCACCATGGCCGGAGAACCCAACGACCAAACCCCCATCCCGCCGTCGAAAAAGGCGACCATTCCGGCCCATATGAAGGCCATGTCGGGTTCTCTGGGAGGAATCATGGAGGCTTGCTGTTTGCAGCCAATTGACGTCATCAAGACCCGGCTGCAGCTCGACCGGACGGGGGCTTACAGAGGAATCGTCCACTGCGGCTCCACGGTGTGCCAGACGGAAGGCGTGCGTGCTCTGTGGAAGGGTTTGACCCCCTTTGCCACTCACCTCACGCTGAAATACTCGCTACGGATGGGCACCAACGCCGTGCTTCAGTCTGCTTTCAAGGACTCCCAAACCGGCCAGCTCAGTAACCGTGGAAGGCTTCTCTCTGGCTTTGGCGCTGGGGTTCTGGAGGCTCTCGTTATCGTTACTCCCTTTGAGGTCAGACTGTTGTAGTCGCCCCTTCATTTGATCCAATACATGATTTCAGATTCAGCTGAGCCTGTGATGGCTTTTGATTTTCATCGTTTCCTTCATTCGGGGGATTTGAGGGGTTGATTTGGGTTTTGCAAATCTGGAAGGATTTTCATTTAGGGAGGACAGAATTTTCGCGTCCCAATTTAGAACCTATAAACTTCTCAAGGTTCTGGACGACGTTAAGCTTCTTAACATCCTGTTACAGATGCCTCCTAGTCCTAGTAGTTCCTTTCATTTGGCGGGATTGGTTTGGAAATGGCTGATAAGATGTGAGTTGTTGTAGAGCTAGAAAGTACCCGGTTAGTTCATCTGTTCAGGGTGGAGTGAGAACTGAGAATGAGGAGGGAGGGGAAGCATTTTAGGCATCAGTTATCTTGGGTTTTGCAAAGCCTAGTCATCTTTCCCTGCATATTAGCTTTAAAGCAGATGAAGTGGTTTCTTTCTTCTCCATCTCGTGTTTATTGGAATGCCTGAATGAGAAGAAAGATAATTGCTTTGATTCAGACCTTCAGTTTTCTCATTTTTGAATGCAAGACTATGGTGTTGTTGGAGTTTTGGCATAAGGTGGAATGTATTATGAACTTCCATATGGGTTCTGAAGGATATTCTGTAGAGTTAATCTGACATCTCAGTTTGGAACAGGTGGTGAAGATCAGACTACAGCAGCAAAAAGGATTGAGTCCAGAGCTTCTAAAGTACAAGGGTCCGGTGCATTGCGCCCGCTTGATAATCCGCGAGGAAGGCATCCTTGGACTGTGGGCAGGTGCAGCGCCCACCGTAATGCGGAATGGCACAAACCAGGCTGCCATGTTTACTGCGAAGAATGCATTTGATGTGTTCCTGTGGAAGAAACACGAAGGGGATGGGAAAGTACTCCAGCCATGGCAGTCTATGATCTCAGGGTTTCTTGCAGGAACAGCTGGTCCCATTTGTACTGGGCCTTTTGATGTAGTCAAAACCCGGCTTATGGCCCAGAGTCGAGAAGCTGGTCATGCCAAGTACAATGGGATGGTTCATGCTATCAAGACGATATATGCTGAAGAAGGGCTGCTTGCCTTGTGGAAGGGATTGATACCCAGACTGATGAGAATCCCACCTGGCCAGGCCATTATGTGGGCTGTGGCTGATCAGGTTATTGGTTTGTATGAGAGGAGATTTCTACCCAATGCACCTTTGTAGGTTTTGTAACTTCGTCGCAGGCTTAGATTGAATCAGAATTTTCTTTTTGTTTAACAGTGTCTTCTTTCTCCATGAGAAGGTTAGGAAAATGGTCAGCAGTTTTGGAATGCATCTTCATATTATTTTTGCATGAGAAGCATTTCATTCTTCAAGTGGTTGTTGCATTGCGTACTCTGGCTTCCTTCTCCATGTTTAGAGGAGTTTGGATAATGGATTTGATGCGATGATTTGCACAATGATAATCTATCTCATGATTGGATTTGTATAGAGTTCATTGTTGGGATGGCCAAACTGACGATTTCAGATACTTCGGATTTGAAATCTAACCAAGTTTCTGATGGTGTTGAAAATACATGCACTTGTTGAATCGATCATGCCGACTCTGGCTCTATTGGTGTGCCAATCTATGGGGTTATTGGTCTCGATGGATGTGTGGATTCCCATTATGAATTCTAAATGAGAACGGAAAGAAGATTTAGAAAAGTGGTCACTTGCTTCACGGTAGTTCCTTAATACGCATTTGGACCTGACCACACATCTGACCTGGTAGTAAGAAATTCCTCCAAGACTTTAAAGGTTGAAGAGGGAACAAATCCTTCATGAAAAATGACTTATATATCCCTTTATAATTTATTTATTCCAACTTTATCTATCATTAGTTATTCTTTGCACTACTACAATTGCCTTTTATAACTACAAACTTAGCCATGAAAGTAATATTTTAGCTAATAACATGCTAATGACTACATAATCTATGCCATAACCTAATAACATGTTAATGACTACATAATTTATTCCACTTGGCTATTTGTGAAGGTCTTTGTCACACATTTATTTTGCGATAAACGTATGATTATTTTGAATTAAATTTTGATTTTGATGGCAAGTAATACCCTTTACCTACAAACTACATTTGTTGTTAAAATAGTAATTCTAACAAACAAATTTTAGCCAACAATTGTAAGATTACAACTATATATTGTAATTATCTACACATTTTAATATCTTGTGGCTACTAATTTTACGAGCTTGCTATAAAATGTCAATTTAAAAGCACAAATTAACAATATGACCACAAGAATAAAATTAGAAACACAAGTAAAGTTATATAAATCTAACATGAAGAAGAGTAGTAAGGTAAAATACCTGTTAAATATATAAATCCATAACCCATAAATCCATGATCAAATCAACTAAGCAAACAATGGACTCTTCCCAAATCCGTAATGCAACAAATCTCTAACAAATCCTTGGGTTTTTAAATTAGAAAACCTTCATTTTCAAATCCATGAAACAAACGACCCCTACAAATCCGTGGGCGGAGCCCCAAATCAGTGGACCCCACGAATTTGCTACCCTCCATTTTGGCTCAACAAACAGTGGCTTTTGGACAAATCCTTCATGTGTTGGATTTAAGAACCAAATCCCATATCCAAATCCACGAAGCAAACGACCCCTAAAGGTTGAAGAGCCTCACACCCGCATATCGTTTACTTTTTCTTCCTTTCGCTTCTCTTCTCAATTCAATCCCCTTTTTTCCTACTCCCTGGAACTAATGGCCTGGTTCCTGTTAGGGGTGGGCAATGCAGTCAAAATCGGGATTTTAATTAAAATTGAAAACTAAGGTACAATCGAAATCGTAGATTAAAATCGTAAAATCGTAAGATTTTAAGGTTCATATTAAATAATCACCTAAAACACCAAATAGTAATAAAAATACATATCCTGAATAACAATCAACCACATATAACATAATTACTTTCCAAGATAAGTTTGTTTGCTAAATAAATACAACTAAATCCATATATCTATTCTTGTACATAATATAAACACACAAATAAGCAACCTGAAACCCCAATGAAATCACTTAATTAATAGTTAAGAGTAGAAAATTACATAAAATCGTTAGGGATCAACATTAATATCACTTACACATCATCATCCTCACCCTCACCCTCACTCTCACTCTAACTCTCATCCTTGTCTATTTGCTTAAGGACTAATATAATTACTCTTAAGATCACTTGAAATACTTTCACCATTAACCATATTTCCTTGATCACAAAGATAACTCATTGATTGGTGCATTCTCTTCTTAATTGATAAAAGGTTGGGGATAGTGTTGCTGAAGGATTGAGAGATGAACGAAAGATTGCAATGGAATGGAGATTTGGATTTTTGTGAGGGTGGTGGGAAAAACCTACAAGCTAATTGGGAGAGTGGAAGATATTGTTGAAGGAAAGAGTTGGGCGTCGACATGCGAAAGAGGAAGATACGATGAAGATAATGAAAATAAATTGAGTGTTGTCTATTGGGTTAGGGTTGCGTTGTTCATTATGTTGGGTCGTGAGAAGTAAACTTGACTTGGTTTATGGGCAGAACCGGACTTGACCAGCCTCATTTTGCTCCAATTGATGTGAACCTTGAAATCGTACAAAATCGTAGAAATCGTAGATTTTAAGGATTTTAGAGTTCTAAATCGGGATTTTATGGGATTTTAAGGTTCAAAGATTTTACAATAAAATCATGATCGGAACCCATAGGTAAGATCGTAAAATTGTAAGATTTTAAGATTAAAATCGGGATTTTGACTACATTGGGGGTGGGCATTCGGTCGGTTCGGTTTCGACCGAACCGAAATTATGAATACCGGGTCCTCGAATTCTCCCAAACCTCAAACCGAATTCGAACCAAATTATAATTCGGTTCGATCGGTTTAAAGCGAACTATAATTCGGTTCGTTTGGTTTTTCACACAAAACCAAATTTGTGAAGCTACTTGTATTTTCTCACTTTTAAATCATTTTTCACCCCTAATATAAACAATAAATATCAATTATATGCATCATCAATGATAAAACCAAACTTTTCAACACATAAGTCATAAAACATTTCAAATATTTAAGTCTAAAAACAACCACAAACATAAAAATCCACCATTTGGAGCTTGCAATTATAGTATTTCGGTTTTTCGGTCGGAAATTCAGAAATTCGGTTCGGTTGAAAGAACCCTGATTTCCGAACTATTCATATTTTCCTTCCGAATTCCGAACCGAATAGCATTAATTCGGTTTCGGTTCGGGTTTACCGAACCGTTTGCCCACCCCTAGTTCCTTTACTTAGACCCAAAAGTTTGAGCATATTACTTAAGTCATTCTATTGGTTGATAGTGGATTAGATAGTTAATAATGAGTTAATAGTTAATAGGTAGTTGAGGATAAATAGAGTATTTCAAATATAATTAATATTAATAATTGATTATTTTCTTTATCTTTTCTCTCATAACTTTCTCCATAATCCTCTCTCTCCGTTATAATTAAAAGGAAACCCGAAATTAATTTAATTAGATTTTAATATTTAATAAAAATTGAACTTAATAATTTCCCCCTTTTTAAAATAGAAATTAAAAATTAAAAATCTGCTCTCTCATTTCGGGACAACTTGCAATGTAATATTAACTTTTTGCAATGAAAATATCAACGTTTATGAAATAAATCATTATTACTATACATTATCATTATTAACAATTTCAATATACGTATTGATTCTTTACAATTATATTATTGAGTTGATTCACAACATTATCATTATTGATACTATTAGTAATAAGCTCCCAAAATGTTGTCATAATTGTTGGGTAATGTATATTTTTTATTCAAACTTTTTTCAGAATCTTTTATATTATCCAAACCTATTAAAATGCTATTAATTAACCAAATCTTTTATAATGCATCAAAATATTAGCCATTTTTACGTTATCGTTAATAATTTTGGGGCTAATACCACTACAACACTCAAACTATCCGGAAAATGCCACTTGTGTCCTATTGTTTCCAATATTCCATCTGTGTCCTGAACTATTATATTTTGTGTCATTTGTATCCTACCAATTGTGTTGACCGTTAAAGATAACAGTTGACCAAACGACGGTCAACTTAACATTGACTTTTGCTTACGTGGCAATGCCAAGTCATTGACACCTCACATTTTTAATTTAAATTAAATAAAATTTTGAAAATAAAAAATTGAAAAAACTTTAAATTCTAGAATATTATTTTAACCTAAAATTAATATTATTTTTCAACCTAATATCTTCTCTCCGCCTCCGCCTCCTCTTCTTTCGACTGCAAAATGTGCATCCTCAACCACTGGAGCCACTGCTGCAAACAATGTTGCGCCACCACCACCGGAGCCTCCTGAGGATAAGCGGATGGAAGAGCCGCCACCGGAGCCACTGCTGCAAACATTGTTCCGCCAGCTCAACCTTTGTTTGCAATCCCTAATTTCGAGTTTGGGGATCTGGACGGGATTGGCGTCTGAGAGAATTGCAACTCGCCGGGACCTGTAGCTGGAGAAAGGAGCTGTGAATCCGTCACCAGATTCATCGCCCTTCCGTCGCGAGTCAGCCTCCTTTCCTCCTCGCTTCCGTCGTCGCGGTAGCAGCAATCGACCACAACTTTGGAGAGCTTTGTTCCAAACCATTCACCCCATTCCAATCTCCAGCAAGAGCGAGGAAAACCTCCCGGCACAGCGGCTCCACCAATGACCACCTACGCAAGATCAAACTCCCATCTATATGCCTTCCAAGCTGAAGGTCCCAAACCGAATGTCGATTCACCTCTCGCTCCCTAAAAGATTTCCCAGTTCGAAAAATTCCTTCCACTTTTCGTTCTTCTGGTTACACCACTACAGATCTAGATCTGCGTTTCATTTTCAACATCCACCAGGAAAATCTCCCAAATCACCTTAAACACCAGACAATGGATCTGAAGTTAGCTCGATCATAACCCGCCGCCGCAAAATCATCGACGATGAGCGCCGATAGATCCAGTTGAGTAAGAGATGAAGGCGCCGCTCCAGTTTACTTCCACTGCGAAGAAACCAGCAGCAGCGAAGGCGCTCCAGCCCAACTACTCCTCCTACCCTTGCGTTCCTCACTCCGCCAGCTTCTCTGTGTCTTCCTCCACCTCCATTCCATTGAAACAGGGGAATCGTGTAGGAGAGGAGAGACAGACCTGTGGAGAGAGAAAGGGCTAGAGAAGCAGGGTCGTCTATGGGGGTTCATCGGAGATCAAAGGAAAAGGACGGTTGGAGATTAGGCGACGAACGACGGATCGGATGCAGTTGATTGAAGTTTTGGAGAGAAGGTGCGGATTTTTCTTCAGAAGTTGGAGAGAAAGAAAGTGAATTGATTTGAGTTATTGTTTTATTTTTGTAATTTTCCATAATTTTTTATTTTGTTTTGCTTATTTTAATAATTTTAGATGGAAAAATAAATGAAAATTCCAAGTCAGACGGCACGTCAACTCTGACTGGATTTTCTGTTAAATACTAACGGTCAACGCCGGTCAACACTAACGAAATAATAGTTCAAGATACAGATGGAATATTGGAAACAATAGGACACAAGTGGCATTTTCCGGATAGTTCAGGTGTTGTAGTGGTATTAGCCCATAATTTTGTAACGCTTTTCTTAGTTAAAATACTAAATTTTTGGAATGTTGACATTCATGTGTAACCCTCGTGTTTAGTTTCCACCGTTGAGTTTGGAACCCTGAGCAGACTGCCGGTGATAAGCTGGAGGAAGGTGAGGATGACGTCAAGTCATCATGCCCCTTATGCCCTCTTCCCAGTCAGTATCATGTTTGCCAAGTCAATATTACTAACAAAATTGCTAACTGAAAGTTAGCATTTGGCTAATTCTTAGTATTTCGATAGGTTGGATAATATAAAAGAATATAAAAAAGGTTTGGATAAAAAATAGACATTACCCTTAATTGTTTATTAGACTTGTTTGGTGATTATATTTAACGTTGTCAATTTTTCATTAATGAGTAACATCATGTCATGTGTGCACATATAGTTTTCATTATCAAATGTTTAATAATCGTTATTATCAACTTTTACATGAATTGTTAATAAAACTCTTTATGACGTTATTATTTTTATACTTTATTATCAATGTTTTTGTATTCAATAAAACTGTGTTAGTAACTTTTAATAAGAACACACTAAATCATTGATAAAGACTATATTTAGTTGAAAATAAATGTTTTTGTATTCAATAAAAACATAATGTTTTGTTTCTTGATGTTTTCGTTATCAATAAATTTTTGTTACATTATTAACGGTTTGTTGCATCTCTATCAACCTAGGAGCATATGTTTTCTAATTTGGACGTCAAGTTTATAAACTTCTTGATAAATTTTACTATTTGTTTTTATTGTTGTTATCAACGTTTATGAAACAATGTCCAACAATTACACCATCAATTTTTATTGGTTCATTGTTATCAATCCAAGGTACTGCTATCAAGTTTTTGGCTATGAATTTTCAACGATATACAAAAACGTTATCATCATCTCCTAAATCATTTTTTGTTGTTTGTTAATGAGTTTAGACTCATTGTTAACAATCTAATGTAATGTTATCATCGTTGGTGTAATGTAAATTGTTATTAACGTAATAAAATATTTAAGATTCTAATCATTATAGTTGAGCATTATCAATTTTTGTGAATTATTAATAAAAGATAGTTACACTATTAACAATTTAAAATGTCGTTATCTATGTTTAATATATCATGGTATCGGATGTTGTTTGTTATGTACCATGATATCAAGTAGTTGTTACAACTTACAATTTCGCTTTCACGTTAAAAACATTAAGCAACTCCCACCAAAATGTTGTTAAAGTATATAATTACTAATAGTATCAAAATTGTTAAAAATTCACCTAAAATATTTATAATTTTCAATGAAATTTTTGGAATGGGAACATCACGTTTACGTTAAAAAAGTTAAGCAACTCTCATCAAAACGTTAACAACGTGAAAGTATATAATTACTAATAGTTTCAAAATGTTTAACAATTGACCCGAAATATTTACAATTTTGTCATGTATTGTTAATAGTGAACACTGTGAATGTTTGATGTATCATTATATCAGTTGTTGTTTGTTTGTTGAAACGAGTGAACCCTAACTAGGCAATCACGGATAACACATGAAGAGACAAATCTAAAGCATAACATCGTAGATGGAGCATAAAAACTCTACGCAAACACAATTCATCATAAATCACAAGAAAGAAAATGAGAAATACCCTACCATCTAAGTTGCAACTAGGACAAATGGGATAAAGACAATCCCACGCTACTTGATATGTAGAAAGAACAAGCGTCAAATAGACATAGATAAATAGGTTCATAATCATCCACAATCAATCAAAAATAACCAATTACATATCAAATCCTAGGTTAGGGTTTGGGGGACTAAGTTTCAAAGTACCTTGAGAAACTAACCCATTAAGGGGGAAAGAAAGGACATGAATAAAGGGGAAGAAATCAGAAAGAAGGTCTTATTGTGCTGGAAAATCCTCCTTCAAAGCTCTCCTTCACTTCTTCTTATCCTCTTCTTTTCCAACCTTCTAATTCTCTCTCTAACCTTATTCTAGAATAAAAAATCATCCAAAAGTCACTCTACGCAAGGGGGGAAGTCCCCTATTTATAGTCATGGGAATGCGGGCAAGTTCGCGGTTGAGGGACGCAAGATCACGACCGTGAACTTCCTCTGGAAGGTCGTGATCTTTAAACGACGTCGCATTGGGTAGCTCGAGAAAGGAGATCATGGCCCAACTTCACGATCGCGATCCTCGAGTTGCGGCCACGATCTCTTTTCACGATCTCAAAAGTGAAAACCCGTAAGTCGGCTGTCGAGACTTTTTGACTTCCTTTTGCTGTAGCTTCTTCGAGTTCGCGCTTGCCTCCTCAAAGATCGCTGGTGCAGTCTTTGGCTTTGGGTCGCAATCTTCTATTGGACTTTGTGATCCCGAATGTGACCTTGGATTCTTCGGTTGCAAACTCCATTTTGGCCCTTAAACTCTACATATATGCCATGTTTTGTGCCTAAATCGCAAATACTGGCTAATGCACCCTAAAATGACGTGAAATGTTCAAAGGAACAAATTTGGGAAATAAATGACAAATATAGGCAACAAAGATCAAATAATTGTATGAAAACACCTAAAATATAAAGGCTAAATAACACCAATTTGGGTTTAATCAATTACCTATTTAAAATTAAGGATCCTTTTTTTTATTAACTCTATTTTTAGAAAATGACAATGATCAACGAGTTGTCAAAAAATAACGAAGAATGAAAAAGATACATGGGATCAAATGTAAATTTAACAATACTGACACAACGGTTGAGCTTGTGTCTCATATTCAAGAACTCTCAGCCTTCTCTCTAGGTTTCTTCTTTTTGGCCCTTTTGAGGGTTGTCATGACGTCAATCTGGTGATTGGTGGCAGTCCACCCCCTCTATTTCATTTCATTTCATTTCACTTATGCATCCTCTATCATTCCTAGTTATTTATGTTCGGATTTTCTAATTTCCATTTCTTTCGTTTTCATGCTCCTTGGTTGGGTTTCTCCTCATATCTTCTTAGGAGATTTGATGTGACCAAAGTACGCAGCTTCAACGATCTTTTTATGATTTTCTTGATGTCGCTTTTCTTGAGCTCGAAAATAAAGGATATGATGGAATCAATCTGACAATCCCAATCGTGATGAAGGGCAATTGGTATATGAAACCAATCAGACAACACCAACTCGTGGAAAGGGGCAATTGATATCAGTGATGCTCGACACAACTAGACGCGTTCTCTCATTGATAAGAGACACGTGAAACTCCTGGAGACTCTTGAGAGAAGCTTGCATAAAACGTTCCTATGGAACTCGAGTGACACTCTTGTATTTGATTGATAAAAAGTTGATGAACAATGATGAAACTCGACCCTATTTTATAGACTTTATAACACTAATGCAAAACATAAAAAGAAAGAAAACAAATGACCAAATCATATACTTAAAAGAAAAAAACAAATCCTTAACAAACAAGAAAAAACCAAGTCAACAACCATCCTAGAATCTAGCCTCCAAATTCGCCCCTTCCCATTATGGTTCCTTTCAAACTTGTATTCCTTTCACACCATGGGAGAAGCTTCTATCCTTCAAGGCCATCTTCTCTTCCTCTTCCTCTTCCTTCAAGCCCATCTTCTCTTCATTCTGGTCCATCATAGCAATGTGATGGGTTTTCCTTCTAGCAACTCCACGTCCATGCTCTTCAATTGTGGACCCAAATAACTTGCAATTTGATCAAGTAATGCCTTAGCTTTTTCATGAGTCATTGGGCCTCCCTCTGGAAAGGATTTGACCTCAAATCCAAATTGTTATCCACATAAAGTGCAAAATCAGAAACATTGAAGGTTGCACTTATCTCGTACTCTTCTGGCAAGTAATTTTGTAGGCATTGCTCCCAACCATCGAAATCACTTGGAAGGGACCTTCACTTCTGGACAGTAGCTTAGATCTCATTGGTAAGGAAACCTCTCTTTTCTCATGTGCACCCACACCAATCTCCTGCTTCAAATGATCGAGGCTTTCTACCCTTATTGACGTGCTTCATGATATGCTTCGTCCTTCTCTCCATATTCAACCTCGCTTTCTTGTGGAGACTCTTCACAAACTCGGTCTTATTTCCTCCATCCATGTTGAATTGCTCCTTCAATGGTAAAGGTGTGAAATCCAATGGTGTTAGTGTATTGAACCAATACACGAGCTCAAAAGGTGAGTGCTTTGTGGTCGAATGCACAACTCTGTTGTAAGCAAACTCGACGTGTGGTAGGCATTCTTCCAAGGTTTTTATGTTGCTTTTGATCACGGCTCGTAGGATTTGGGAAAGAGTACGATTTACCACTTCGGTTTTTCCATCCGTTTGAGGATGACAAGTTGTCAAAAACAAAAGCTTCGTGCGCAGTTTGCTCCACAATGTCTCCCAAAAATAGCTCAATAACTTTGCATCTCGATCAGACACGATGATACTTGGCATACCTTGCAATCTCACGATCTCTTTGAAGAATAGATCTGCCACATTAATCACATCATCTATTTTATGGTATGGATGAAGTGTGCTATCTCCGAGAAATGATCCACCACCACAAAAATTGAATCTCTGCATATTCTTGTCCTCGACAACCCTATCCCAAAATCCATCAAAATTTCAATCCAAGGTGCATAAGGTATAGGTAGTGGCGTGTACAGTCCAGATGATTGCACGTTTGACTTCACATGTTTTCACTCCACGTATCTAGCACACATGTTCTCCATATTGCCCTTCATGTGAGGGCAATAGAAGTTCTCTTGTAACAACTCAATGTCTTGGCTACAAATAGTGTTGTCATGTCTACAATGCTCGAACCAATGCATAGAGCTCCTTATCGTAAGTAGGATAGTTAAGTGTATCTCCACTCAACTTCTCACTAAAGTAGGCGATAAGCTTCTTCTCTTGTATCAACACAGCTCCAATTCCCAATCCTTATGCATCACGCTCCACTTCAAACGTCTTGTTAAAATCAGGTAGCATTAGAACAAGAGCATGGGTGATTTTGTACTTGAGTAGCTCGAATGCCTTCTCTTACTCTTCACCCCATTAAAATGTCACATTCTTTTTTACAATCGATGTAAATGGGGTGGCAATGGTGCTGAAATTTGGTACAAATCGTCAATATAAACTAGCCAACCCAGGAAAACCCCTTACTTCATTCACGTTGGTAGGGGTAGGCCATGCTTGAATCGCCTTCACTTTCTCATCATCGACCGCAACACCATTCACACTTACCACAAATCCCAAAAATACTACACCCGAGGTACAGAATGTGCACTTATTAAGGTTAGCATAGAGTTGATCCTTCCTCAAGGTCTTCAACACTTCGCACAGATGATCAAGATGTTCCTCCATGTTCTTCGAATAAATTAGAATGTCATCAAATTAGACAACTGCGAACTTTACAATAAAATCTCCCAACACGTGGTTCATCAATCTTATGAAGGTGCTTGGCGCATTAGTGAAAGCGAAGGGCATTACTATCCATTCGTATAGATCATGCTTAGTCTCAAAAGTAGTCTTCCATTCATCTTCTTCCTTCATACAGATTAGGTGATATCTCGACCTCAAATCAATCTTCGAAAATAAGCTAGAACCATGTAATTCGTCAAGCATATCATCCAAACGAGGTATAGGATGACAATACTTAACTGTTATTTGCTTGACTGCTAGACAATCAACACACATTCTCCACGTGTGGTCCTTCTTTGGCACAAGGATGACAGGAACAACGCAGGGACTCATGCTCTCTCGAACATGTCCTTTCTCCATAAACTCATCAATCTGCCTCTGTAACTCCTTTGTCTCCTCTGGATTCGTCCTATAAGCTACCTTATTTGGGATGGTAGCTCAAGAAATGAAGCCAATTCGATGTTCTATCCCACAGATTGGAGTTAGGCCTTTTGGAGCCTCCTTAGGAAAGACATCATCAAACTCCTCTAATACCACTTATGCCCTAGGAGGTATGTCTTGAATTAGATCTTGATTGAGTAGCACGCCCTTATATATGATCATGATCATTCAGTGCTTGCTTCGGGTCTCCACTTCGTGCTAACATCAATGCCTTGGTCTCCACGGCACTAGACCCTCCATGTGCATTCTTGTTCGTGAATTGGGATTCCTGCACTTTATCCTTCTCCCAATTTCATTGCATTTTAAGTTGATCTTCATAGACCTCCTTGGGAGATACATGTTTCAACACGTTTTTCTCCCTACAATGCAATAACTCATACTTTTTGGTAACTCCATCGTGATATGCACTTTGATCAAATTGTCTTGGTCTTTCAAGTAAGACATGTGCCACTTGCATAAACACTACATCGCAAAGGATTTCATCATTGTACCTTCCAATATCAAATTTCAATAGAGCTTACTTCGTGACCTTGATGGCACCATTATCATTAAGCCATTGAATTGTGTATTGCTTGGGTTGCTTCAATGTGTTCAATCCCAACTTCTTAACCGCAAGTGCACTTATGACATTAGTGCAGCTTCCACCATCAATCCTCATCGAAAGTAATTTTCCATTCATCATGCACCTCGTATGGTGACTCATCAATACCGTCACACTAGAAAGTGACGCAGTCGGAAACACCAAGGATTCACAAATGCTAAATCCGCCGGAAAAGAAAGAGCTTGCAAGCCACAAACTCACGTTGAAAACTCCAGAATCCATCGGAAACAAACCTAAGGTTTATTAGTTTGATTAAAGAAAAAGATGTCCAAGTCTTACGTTTACATGCCTCTTAAATACTACAGCCGCCTAGCTCTTCCCAAAAGGGATTAAGAAAAGAAAACATAATTTAATAAACCGAAAATCCAAAATGGCCAGTCATGCAAGCTGGTTTACGTATGCGACACCAACTCCTTCTCCAACTGGGTTGCATCCATGATCTTGTCCTCTAGCCGCGTCGCGTCAGTCTCCTCCACCTGTAAAGAACTCGACCTCGAGTTCGTACGGGGATATAGAGCATCCTCATGGAACTCGTAGAGATCAGCCACATTGAAGGTGTTGGATATGTTCATATTAGCCAACAAATCGATGACATAAGCATTATCATTAATCTTCCGGAACACCTTGAATGGACCATACTTGCGAGGCTGGAGCTTAGCATACGTGCCGACTGGGAATCGTTCCTTGCGTAAAAACACTATTACGTCGTCACCTGCAACAAAAACCTTAGAACATCGGTGAGCATCGGCGGCAACTTTATTCTTCTGACCAGCGGCCGCCAACCTGGCATGAACACCCTGCTTAACAGCCTGGAAGTCATGGACCATGAACACTGCTGCTTTGCTCACGCCCAAAGCCGGGGGAATGGGAATCAAATCCACAACATGGCGAGGCAGGGAAGTGTAAACAATAGAAAAAGGAGACCTGACCGTAGCTGAATGGACCGCACTGTTATAGGCCAACTCGGCCTGGGAAAGGAATAAATCCCATTGCCGCGGCTTATCACCACAAAGGTTGCGAATCATGTTACCCAGGGTCCGATTGGTAACCTCCGCCTGTCCGTCAGTCTGCGGATGGGCCGTAGAGCTTTGATTCAACGCAGTCCCGTACAATCGCCACAGAGTAAGCCAAAAATGGTTGTGGAACTTAGTATCGCGATCAGAAGTGATCGTGACAGGAACCCCATGCAGACGAACGACTTCCTTGAGGAACAGCTTGGCGACGTTGGAAGCATCCGTCGTTTTCCTGCACACAATAAAGTGGGACATTGTTGAGAAACGACCAACGACGATGAAGACAGAATCCACACCCCTCTTAGTGCGAGTTAAACCCAGAACAAAGTCCATCGAAAGATCGAGCCAAATATCATCAGGAATCGGCAAGGGCAGATAAAGCCCTGTATTCTGGGACTGGCCTTTTGATGTTTGACAAATAAAACACCTTCGGACAATGGCACCCGCATCGCGCCGCAGATGAGGCCAAAAAAACTGCGCCTCGAGGCTAGCAATCGTCTTGTCACATCCTAAATGACCACGAAGGCCCCCGCCATGCAGCTCGCGGATGAGTTGTTCGCGCAAAGACGAACTCGGGATACAGAGGTGATCCCCTTTAAATAAGTAGCCATCGCGCATATGGAAGTCAGTGTTGGGGTGCTGATGAGTGCATTTAAACCACGGCTCCACAAAATCAGGGTCAGTTGCGTATTGTTCCTTGAGAATATCGAACCCAATGATTTCCTGCGCCAAAGTAACCAATAAGGAAGCTCGGCGGCTCAGTGCATCGGCAACCTTGTTCTGAATCCCGGACTTGTGCTGGATTATGATGGGGAACTTCTGTACATAGCTGACCCAGCGTGCATGCATTTTGTTGATCACTTTCTGACTGTGCAGAAACTTCAAGGCTAGGTGGTCGGGGAACAAGATAAACTCCCGTTGTATCAGATAATGTTCCCATTGGTGCAGTGCTCGAAAAACCGCATAAAACTCCTGGTCGTATGTGCTCCATTTTTGCCTGGCGTCACTAAGCTTCTCACTAAAAAATGCCACAGGCCGCTTCTCTTGTGAGAGAACAGTGCCCATGCCAACCCCGCTAGCGCCGCACTCCACTTGAAAGATCTTGTCAAAATCGGTTAAGGCAAGGACGGGGGCGGTGCAAAGCTTCTCTTTGATTAAAGTGAAGCTTTTCTCTTGCTCGGAGCCCCATAAAAATTTCCCTTTATTTAAACACTCGGTCATGGGGGAGACGAGGGTGCTAAAGTCGCGGACAAAACGACGGTAGAAAGTAGCCAGTCCGTGGAAATTTTGTACTTCCGATACGGTTGTAGGGGTCAGCCTGCTGAGAATAGCATGGACTTTCTCCTCGTCCACTTGAACCCCTGTCTCACCAACAATAAACCCCAAAAACAGAAGATGATCGGTGTAGAAAGTACATTTCTGAGGTTGATATAGAGTTTGTTCCCGTCGAGCACTTGGAGTAGTTGACGCAACTGCTCTAAGTGTGCCTCCTTGGTTTTACTGTAAATCAACATATCATCAAAGTATACTACCACAAAAGACCCAATAAAAGGATGAAGAACCTGATTCATGAGCCGCATGAAGGTGCTAGGAGCGTTGGACAATCCGAAAGGCATGACGAGCCATTCGTAGAGACCGTCCTTACTCTTGAACGCGGTCTTCCACTCATCCCTTGGCCGAATTTGGATTTGGTGGTACCCACTCCTCAAATCAATCTTCGAGAAAACCTTTGACCCGGATAACTCGTCTAGCATATCCTCCAAACAGGGAATCGGAAACCTGTACTTGATAGTAATCTTGTTAATGGCCCGACTATCGACGCACATGCGCCACTGATTGCCCTTCTTAGGGACTAATAGGACAGAGACGACACATGGACTCATACTTTCCCGGATGAAGCCTTTCTTCATTAGGTCCTCGATCTGCTCGCGGAGAATCTCCTTCTCTTTAGGGCTCATGCGGTAATGTGGCAGGTTCGGAAGATTGGATCCCAGGATCAAGTCAATGTGATGTTGGATATCTCGCATAGGTGGTAACGTGCTAGGCAACTCGTCTAAAATTAGCTTCCCAAAGTCTCCTAGTATCTCTTGTACCGCCGCGGGAATGGCCTGCTCGGTGGATGGGGACGTACTCAGCAATCCATTGACGACGATTGGACACACCCACTCGGAATCATGAAGCGCTTCCTGTAATTCTTGTTCATCCCGGGTCAACGTAAGGAAGTTAGACTTCCTCTTCTCAAGGTGCTTCGTTGGATTAGAGACCGGAGCCATAACTATCTTGTGCGCCTTCTAGGTGAACAATATCACATTGTCCTTTCCTCTATAGGTAACATCATTGTCGAACTGCCATGGTCGACCCAAAAGCACATGGCACACGTCCATCTTCAGCACGTCACACGCCACCACTTCTCGATAATGCTTTCCAATTGAAATCGAACTTTGCGGGTTTGCGTCACCTTGACCTGGGGGCCTTTGCTCACCCAACCCAACGCATATGGTTGAGGATGAGGTTCGGTAGGCAACTCTAAATATGCGACCAGCCGTTGAGGACCAGATTTTCTGTGCTTCTGTTGTCCACGATGAGATTGCATACTAGGGATGGCAACAAAATCCGAACCCATGGGTACCCACCCAACCCAACCCAACCCGGTCAACGCGGGTAAAATCCGTGTTGACGAGTTTTGGGTCGGGTTTGGGTTTAAACCCGTTCACTATTCGCCAGGTTGGGTTGGGTTTGGGTTTAGGTAAACCCGACCCGTGGGTACCCGCCCACACCCATATAATTAATTTTCTCGGTATATTTAGGATTCTAAACAACTAATCTTATTTATATTTGTGGAGACATGTCTAATTTTTTCTTTCTAATTGTGTAGAATGAAGTTGATGTTATCAAGTGGAGAGTGAATAAACTTAATTGAAAGGAAGAAGCTTTCAATTAATCATGTTATTTATGGATAATTTGTGATTGGCTTCAATTTTCTTGAGTTTTCTAGATTGTTGTTGAACAATTTGTAGAGTTAATTTGTGATTTGCTTGAATTTTCTAGAATGATGTTTTATATATGGATAATTTGTATTGCGAGATTGATATTTGACTTTAATTTTGATAGGAACTTGTTATTGTAAATTTTTACGACAAAAACCTGTGGGTACCCATGAACCCGCGAATACCCAGAGGGTTGGGTTGGGTTTGAGTTTTTCAAACCCAGTGGGTTTTACCCCGGGTTTTTTCACGGATCAACCCATGGATTTGGGTTTGATAAAACCCGACCCAACCCGACCCATTGACATCCCTAATGCATACCTTATTATTAATAGAGTATTGTGTGCGTAAAAGATTTTTCCGCTGCCCCTCGTCGGTCGCAGAAAGTAGAACTCGCTGCAGGATGATGTTCACTACATCTTTGGACTCCTCCTCCGCAAATTCAGCCCCGACATACTCATCAGTTTCCCCTTCTTCTTCGGAATTCTCAACGTGGTTGGACGCTTCATCTATGACAGCAACCATTTTCCACGATGGGCACACATTCTAACGGTGTCCCTGGCCCCCACAACGGTAGCATTTATCTCCCGTTGCTTTGGCGTAGGGGTTAATAGCTCTCTAGGTCGGAACCCTGTTAGGGTTGGAGGTACCAGCCGCGTTAGGCCCTTTTGGTGGAGGCGGGTTGCTCTCCTTTGGGTTAATACCCTTCTCCTTCTCCATCATTACTTCGGGCTGTCCCGGTGAAGGAAATCTGCGGAAGGGTGGGAAGTTCCTGGGAGACTTCTCCATTAGTTCCGCTTTTAATGTTAGCGTAGAAGCCTCCACCACCGTCCAGACAGTTTGTAACTCTATCTTCTTCTGGATGGATCTCTTCAAACCATTGATGTAGCGGGCTACCTTCTGAGCTTATGTTTCCCTTAGTTCATTGCGTTCGAAAAAGCGCAAGAACTCGGTGGCGTATTCGGTGACACTCCTCCTCCCTGAACACAATCAATATACATTTTGTAAAGAATTTTCTCATAATCCTCAGGGAGAAATCGCTCAAGCATTAGTTGCTTCATCCGCCTCCAGGTTCGAATCGGTTCCTTCCTCTGTCGTTGCCTTTGGGCAACCAGCTTATCCCACCATACCGCAGCCGTGCTCTTCAGCCGAATAGCTACTAGCTTAACTTGCTTTCCCTCGGGTACTTCCATCACGTCGAAAAACCTATTGACTTCAATTTGCCAATCCAGAAACTCCTCGACCCCCATCGTTCCATAGAACAACGGAATATCTGCCTTGACTCGATAGTCATTGCGGTCTCGCTGATGTTCATCATCTTCTTCGTCGTCCTGGACCTCTTCCTCTGAACTAGTGTCGGAGTCAGTCTGACCACGTATGTCGCCGCGTAGTCGCCTTTGCTGATGGTTTCACCTATCTCTATTCCTCCCTTCATTGATGGCGTTCACTTGAGTCGCCAACGTAGTTGTCCAAGCTCGAAAAGAGACAGGGAAAAGCCTACTCTGATACCACCTGACGCAGTCGGAAACACCAAGGATTCGCAAACGCTAAATCCGCCGGAAAAGAAAGAGCTTGCAAGCCACAAACTCACGTTGAAAACTCCAGAATCCATCGAAAACAAACCCTAAGGTTTAGTAGTTTGATTAAAGTAAAAGATGTCCAAGTTTAACGTTTACATACCTCTTAAATACTACAGCCGACTAGCCCTTCCCAAAAGGGATTAGGAAAAGAAAACATAATTTAATAAACCAAAAATCCAAAATGGCCAGCCATGCAAGCTGGTTTACGTATGCGACGCCAACTCCTTCTCCAAATTGGTTGCGTCCTTGATCTTGTGGCCAGGTGTAACCACAAACTAATGTGTAATATAGCGGGTTTAGCTTTATTTGTCAACCCGGGTCCTAGATGTGATGACTACTCCGTGAGGTTCTTGTTATCTAGCAGTTTAAACGAAGTGAAGTTATATCTAACCTAAGCAAACACAAAGCAGTAAAGTTGTGATTCAAGTTCGAGAGAAGTCACCTGGATAAGGTTCCCCCTAGATTGCAGTTAAAGCAAATTGTAATTCACCAAGTTCATATATAATGATAGTTATACTACGGAAGGTTCTTATTCAATCTGAAGTCTCAACTAAAGGTCTTCAAACCCTCTCAGTCTGAATACCCGGCGGGTGCCTAACCTCCACTGGAGTAAACGAATTGAGGCCCTAACTTGCAAAACCACCTCTACTAGATCAAATCAAGAAAGAGAGCAACCTCTTCCAAAAATCGCAAGTTTGTTTGGCAAGAAACACAAGAATCCTTCGGTGTAAATACATAAAATAAAAAATTGAACCAAACCCATTACTCTCTTTGTCGGGTTTGGAAAAACCCACCAAAAGATAATATCAGCTGAATTTTCCCTTATAAAATTGTTTGAGCCCGAGCGACGGAGGGTCACTCGGATCCAAGGGGTTTGGTGCATCAGTCATGACCTTGAGGAAGCAGGCGCTCCATCTCTAGAAGAGTAGAAGAAAAGAAGTATAGAGAGAGAAAGTAGAGAGAAGTGGGAGAAAAATGTAGTTGGCTTGTCATTTATGAAGAGAGAACTCCTATTTATATAAGTCTAAAAGTTAGGTAGTGGTCCAGACGCCTGCCAAGCCATAAATGATGTGGTCGGGCACCTCAGACCTTCTAATACTATACATTGTACTTTCTAACAGAGGGTGTCCCTTTGTACTCTATCCTTGTTGATGTCAGGTGCCTGGCTCTGTCCCTTGATCTTGACTCCTTAGGATATTTTATCTTCTTTCTTCATGTTATCAACTGGGACATAACTAGGGTTTTGCCCCATTAGCAATTAGGATAACCTATCAAATTCCCCTTTGGCGATGGCGCAAGTATTGTGGAATTGTCAACAAGTGCTCTCTCCTCGATGACGGTGTCTCTAAGCTAAAGGGTGGGCGACTTCGGGGTTCGAAAGTAAACAAGTTTAAAAGCAAAAAAAAGCCTAAAACTAAAAAATAAAAATAAAAATCCAATAAAAAATAAATACAAATATAAGGGAAAGACTACCCGAAGCGAGCCGACTATGGCAACTTTGGGACTCGACCCACCCAGTAAGATAACACGATTTTGAGAAGGCAAATGTGTTAGGTTGGGATACCTAACTCGATGGGCATGTGTTTCTCTCTCCATCCCCTCCTTATTTAAACATGACCACCCACTTCCCCTTCACTTCTCCCTTGCCAAATTTTCGAGCCCCACCACTCCTTCCTTCAGCCTTCATTTCCCAGGCGCCACCCTCAACGAGGCCTTCTCGCCCATCGCCTCTTTCCACCCTCTCCTAACCACCGCTACCTCCTCTTTTTGTTAGGCGCCTCCATTTCCGACCTTAGGGTTAGCTAGATCTAGAACAAAAAATTCCTTGCTAGCGACTTTATCCTTGTTCTCGTTCACCTTTCTCTGAGCGTCGCCGCTAATGTTGATTGTCTAGGCGCCACCAATTAAACCCTCATCTGCTCCCGACCTCTTCCTTGGGCGCCATAACTAGGATTGATTGCTTGAATGTTAAATTTCTTCAATTGCTCCCTACTTTTCTTTTAGGCGCCATAGCTAGGATTGATTGCTTGAATATTGAATTTCCTCGATTGCTCCCGACTTTTCTTTTGGGCATTATGGCTTGGATCAATTGCTTGAATGTTGAGTTTCATTACTTTCTCTTGACTTTTCCTTTGGACACCATAGCTAGAATTGATTAGTGTTATTCGGACTCTCAAAGCGCTACCCCGGTTGGTGAGCCTCTCCCGGGGCGCATGCTTGTGGTTAAGTCTCTCCCCGGGCGCCATCCCAGTATGTCGGTCATCATTTGTTCGCTTTTCCTCCATTGGGCGCCACCTTAGTGAGAGGGAGCTTGATCCTCTTGTTTATTTTGCTCTTGACAATTCTTCTCCTTTCTAACTCCGCAGGCTTCTTGATTTGAGGTGTTGAAGGCGCCTCCTAACTTGAGGTTACGGGGCGCGATGACAGACTTCTACGCGCGTGCTATCACCTTAGGTGGTGTACACGTTTTTCCTCTCAGGCTCGTTTATCTCCTCATCTTTCTCTCATCGTGATGGCATTAAAAGGATCAAGTCAACCTGTCTCCCTAGTTGGTGCCTCACCTCCTGTGAAAGAAAAGGCTGGAATAACCAACAGCAAAACTAAGAAAATCGGTAAGTACGACGTCCCTTACTTTTTTTCATTCTACCCTTGTACTGTGGATTTGTGCTTTAGGGAGCCTTAGTTGATTGGACAGTGTCTAAAAAAGACAACGGGAAGAATCGCATGATTGCTAGCGATATTGATGACAGTGATGAGTCAGAATTGAGGAAAGGTGCGCTCATCGAAGGCGCCCTTTCTAGCTTGGAGCTCAAGCCCAAACCGTGGGCTTTTCGGGCATCTGATGACCCTGAATATGACATCCTTTTTTTGGCGGGGGATGTGGAGGGGTGAGATGCCCCCGACTTCCTTCCACCTCCTCGGTTCAGATAAGCAGCCTCGGGTTCAACTACACCGAGTCGTGTCTTACATCCGAGGTTTGGGGTTCCTTACCGATTGCGAGTACGCCATCCCTGATCCTGGAGTTCGAGTAGGTAGTTGTCCTGAGGGTTGGTTTGCAGTTTATTTGCAGTATTTAAAGTGCGGCTTGAAGTTCCCGCTAGATCCGATCTTGTCAGGTGTTTTGGAGATGGTTGGGTGTTCGTCGTGCTTTTTGTCTCCCTCGCTGATTTTTCACGCTTGTCTGTTTCGGTTGATTTTCTAGCGCTTAGGCTACGAGCCCTCCTTCCCTATTTTTTGAAGTATATATGCTTTCGAATGGGGGAAACATGGTTGGACTGCTTTGAAGCATGACAGCAAGTATCATGGTAAGGTTTGCAAGGGTTCACCTAAGCTCCCTAGCAAGTGGTACTGCTCCTACTTCTTTTTAGACCGTGCCCTGGTACTTGGCACTCCCTTACAGAGGCGCCATTTTCGACCTTATGGAGTGAAGGATCGGATGAGGAGTCGGCTAAGGATTTTTCTCTTCCAAAATTGGAGCGTGAGCAGAAACACCAAATACTTCGAGCTCCTCCCGCAGACTTTGCCAGGAAAGGAGAGAGGGTGCACATCCTATGGGATCTTTATGACTACGGTACCTTTTCCCTTTGTTGATTTTTGCTTAACCAAACTTCTGCTCTTTGCGTAACTCCTTTTTTTTTTTTTGCATATTTCAATTTCTCTAGCTTGGTGAGAATGTAGAAGAAGGGCGTTGGTGCTAGCTCGAAGACTCCTCATGCTAGTTCGAAGAAGGCATCTGGCGCCTCTGCTTTGAGTGTGCTTTGATCTTCTGACTCGATGCCTCTTGCCACAGGTGAGGCACCTTCTCCTCCATTGATTCCTCCTCTCCTTACCGAAAAATGTGCTCCCGAGAAGGCTTTGGGAAAGTGCCTTGCCTCTACAAGCTTGTTGACCGACTCCCAAAAGAAGCAAATGAAAATAGGGCTGGGGAGCATTGAAGAGATACTGACGCCCAACCATTTGAGGAGCGTCGTTAAGCCAGAAGAACTCATTCCGATTTCCCCTTCTGCAGCTCTCAATCCTCTAAGCGCATTCACCTCTGCAATTGATCTAAGCAACTTTTTGAAGCGCCCCCTTGATGAAGGCGCCTGCCCCGTTGGCCTAGCTTATCAGCATCTGTTCCAGGTGACCCCTTATTATTCTTGGTTTAGTGCTTTTTTTTACACCTACGAATTCCTAACATGAATTGGTTCCCTTCTTTTTCTTTTACTTTAGGCAATGCTTGATGTGATTACTATTTTCGATAAGAGCCTGGAGAACAGGAAGCGCGCCAACAAGAACTACCTGATGGTTTCCCAGCTTAAGACCGTAAAGACAACTTTGCAAGAAGTCAACTCCAGGCTGAGCAATGAGTTTATGTTAAAGCAGTAGCAATCCGATGCGCTTGTTGAGTGGAATGTGGCAGCCCGTGAGGAGCTTGAGAAGGAGCTAGTGATCCGAGAAAAAAGGGTCGAAGATCTGGAGGGGGAGCTGAAGGCAATGTCCGCTGCCAAGGAACATCAGCATGTGAATTTTCTTCCTTGGCAAATGTTTCTTTTGACATGGCTTCTCGCATAACTCCCTTTTTCCACTCTTTATAGGAGGAACTGAAGAAGAAAATAGTTGGGGCTCGTGAGGGTTCTGTGGGGGCTCACCTGGCCTCATCAGAGTTTCGTAGTTGGCAGAGAGATCTTCTTACTGGGGTGAAGAAGAGAGCCTGTATCGGTATTCGCAAGAAGGTTCGTTCAGACAACCCCGACATGAAGTGGGACACGTCTGAGGTTTAGCAGGCAATGGACGACTACTTCCTATCTCTTGGCACGAACAATAAGCCCTCCAATTCATAGCCATTTTCGATAGATGAGGGTGACCCCTCCGCAGATGAAGCCGAGGTTGACATTAAGGGAGCTGATGATGAGGTGAATGACTTCCAGTGAGGGTAAGGATGTCGAGGAGGGTGACAGGGGTGACAGAGCTGTTGATGATGGTAAGGGTGGCGCTTCCGATGAGGGGTCATTGGATGACTCCAAATCTTCCGATGATTCCATGAGCAAGTCGAACAATGAGTAGATTTGGGCCGCAGCTTAGCGCCCCTCGATCTTTCTTTTATTTATTTGTTGAACGTAGTTTGTCGAATTAATTATGTTGGTAGATTAGTTGTGTAGGCGTGTTGTGTCTTCTGATGCACCTTTTGCTCATTCCACCCTTTGCCTGTATCCACACTTTGGAGACGTTAGGTTTCTAGATATTGCTTTTATGCTTCTTATGCATTTCTTCCTTGCTTTTCCTTCGTACTAGGGAACATATGTTCTCCTAGTAGTTGTGACTTCTTTTATGCCCTGCGCATGTACTCTTTCAATGGGTGCTGCTTTTCGCGGTCTTGCACAAAGTAGGGATTTTTCTTGACGGAGGAAGCAAGTCAAGACTCCTCCTGTCTAAGCAGGAACGTTCTGAGGGATACTATAGGGGGAGGCGATTCTTATGGGGACCCGTAGGACGGGAGCTTGACACTTGGTTATGAAACCCAGTGTAAGCACTAAGGCACCTCCGCTTATCGCGATTAGAGGTTGGTTAGGACGAGTATCTTAAACCATTGGTGTTGGTTCCTACGTCGTTACGCCTGCATCCCTCAAAATGGGGTAACGTGCCGAGGCTTCTCCTTGATGGAGGAAGCGAGTTAGGGTGACTCCTTCTGTCTAGGTAGGAATGTTTTGAGGGATACTATGGGGGTATCGCCTCTCATGGGGACCCATAAGATGGGCGCCCGACACCTGGCTCTATAGTCGTGTGCAATCACTAAGGCTCCTCTGCTCTTGCGGGTAGGGTTCGGTTAGGATAAATATCCTAAACTGTCGGTGTCGCTCTCCAAAATGTTGCACCTGCATCCTTGAAAAGGGGGTAACGTGCTAAGCTTCTCCTCAACGGAGGAAGCGGGTTAGTGTAACCCCTTCCGTTTAAACAGACACACATACGCTATATTATGGTTATTTCCACGACAAGTTCATTTTCATTTCTCATATGTAAGTAGAGAGTTACATTGGGATGTCCTCGGGTCATGCCTTTTCAAATGCATGCCTCCTCCCCCAAAAGTACCTTACATGAAAAGGATGAAAGGAAAGGAAAAAAAGGAGAAAGTTGAACAATACTTCTCCTGGTTGCTTGAAAAGATCCTGCTAGGGCGTTGTCGGGTTATGCCTCTTCGAGAGCATGTCTCGTCGCTACAAAATGTTGTCACCTAGTACCGATCAGTAATCTTTCGTTCCTGACTTGCACGTATATTTCCTCAAGTGCTTTGCATTCCAGGTTTTGCTTACGCGCTTTGCTTCCATGTTGGCGAGTTTGAAGGTACTTGGCCCTATGACCTATCTGATGATGAAGGGTCCCTCCCACTTAGCTTCTAGCTTATCGTGACTTGGGTTGTGGCGGAACACTTTTCTTAGAACTAAGTCTCATTCTTCAATGTGGTGACCGGTGAGGCTTCAGCTTTGCATTATAGTACTTGCCGAATTGCTCATTGTCTTCAACCACCCTTAAGAGCGCATGGATCCTTCTCTCATCTAGCATGTCCAATTCATGAGCTAGGGCACCATTGTTGGTTTCTTCGTTGAACTCTCGGATACGTAGTGTGGGTAGCACTACTTCAGTCGGGGTCACTACTTCTACACCAAAAGTTAGGGTGAAGGGGGTCTCTCCTGTGGAATTTTTTGGCATGGTGCGTAGCGCCCAGAGGACATGAGGGAGCTCATCTACCTAATTTCCTTTTTGCGCTTGGAGGCGCTTCTTTAGTCCCTGGAGCATGAGTTTGTCTGTCGCCTCCGCCTGCCCGTGCGCTTCTGGGTATGCCACCGATGAAAGCTTCAGCTGGATGTTGTAACCTCGCTAGAAGTCGGAGAAGGTAGTGCAATCAAATTGCTTGCCATGGTCAGTGATGTTAGAATTTGGGATGCCAAATCGAGAGAATTTTTTGTTGAAGACAACTGGATGGAAAGTTAACGGTTTGGCTATTATTTTGCTTTACGAAAGATTTGACTATTATTTTGTTTAAAATGAAAGGTTTGACTATTATATTGGGGTAAATTGCAAGGTTAATCACTAAAAGTGATAAAATATTCACGTTTTGTCACTAAAAGAATTTTATTCCGTTCGTGGTCACTGAAAGTGATTAACATTTCACGATTGGTCACTCTCCGTTAGTCTCCACTAACACCGTTTGTGATTTGCTGACATAGCAATCAGAAATGTTGATTCATCCAATTTTAATCTGCCACGTCATTAAACCCCACCCGCCAAGGCAATTTTACCCGTCAGATTCCCCCAACCCATGACCCGACCCTCTTATTAACCCGCCCAACCTAAAACTCCATTGGCCCAAATGAAAATCTCATTCCAACCCACCCTCCCATGTCCTTTCTTCTCCGCCGCCATCGACCTCTAATCCTAGCCGTCGCCATCAATCATCGCAATGGGATTCAACAACACCAGCGCCAACCCCATCTTTGTCAGGCCTTCAAGAGTAGCATCCCAACCCGTCAATAACAGAGCTGACTACGAGCGGAAGGGTTTGCGAGAATTTAGCCAGGAAAGTGTCGGCGGGCGCCGCGAAGGTGGACCCGATGAGGAGAGAGATGGAGGAGGATAGGAAGATGGCGGAGGTGCTGAGGGAAGAGAGAGTCCACGAAAAGGGAATTGAGGAGCATTGGGATATTGGGTTGGGAGGGAATGAGGAGGAAAAAGGGAACAACGGTGAAGCTCCTCCAACACCCCTGGCAGTGATGGGTGCTTTCCAAGTGGTTGCCGAGGATTTGCCGGGTAAATGTAAGAAGCTGATTATCGGCGGTGAGAAGTGGTGGTGGGATGACGTTGGTCGAGGCTGATAGGACAGGGGAATCGCTGGTGGCAGTGGGGTTGGGACGATTGAGAATCCACAACTACAGTGAGGAATCAAAGGTTTCGGGTTGGGTTAGGGGTTGAAATTGTAAAATATTATTTTCATTTTTAATTGCCACATCACTCATTTAACGGTCAACTCTTAAAGTTGACTGTCACATCAGCTAAACTTAATGGAGAGTGACCAAACGTGAAACGTTTAACCACTTTTAATGACCACAAATGGAATAAAATACTTTTAATGATCAAACCTGAATTTTTTAATACGTTTAGTGACCAACCTTACAATCCCCAAAACACCACCCTGGAGTAGAAGGGGAATAAGAGAACTCTATCTTCGTTGCGTGCTCTTCTTCACAAGAGGAGAAATCTCTATTATCTCGACTTTGAGGAAGGGAAAGCCGCAAAATTGAAGCTAAGGAAATGGAAGGAATCAAGGAATGATCGATTGACGGGGGCCGTCTATGTGGGGAATCGGAAGAAACGATGGCGAACAGCAAAACGAGAGAGATGAGAGGATGCGACCTTCGTATGGCGAACAACAAAGAGAGAGATTGGGTATGACCTAATTTTGATTTTTTAAATTAGGGCGATAATTATAACATAGGACATGAAAGTAAATTTAATATAATTAGGGCGACGAATAAGGATTTTTAGAGCAACGAATAGCAATTTCCGTATTATATTGTATATTTACCCATAAAAATAAATGGAAACGAGCTCGAGGACACTCTTGGCAAAACGCGAAAATGACCGAATCATCTATATAAGGCAAACGTTGCCGTAATGCCGAGAGATAAAAACCCATAACCCTAGTTCACTACTGTAGAGAGTAGAGAGCTAGCAGCAGCCAGCCACCACCTCTCGCCCATTTATACTCTACTCACCCCCGCTCCCTTCTCATTCTGCTAAACCCTAGCGGCCCCTTTTCCTCTATCCTTCTCCCCTTATTTCGCCGCCGTTAATCCTCTTCTGCCAGTGAGTTCTCAGTTGCTCCCTTATTCCTCGTCACATGAACTCATATATTATTGATTTTGTGATTGTTAACTGGGACTTATGTTGATTTTCTCTCTGGATGATTAGGTAGCAAGAAAGACCTGGTGAAATCCTGCGGAATCATGTCCGACGACGAGAGGGAGGAGAAGGAGTTGGATCTCACTTCTCCTGAAGTTGTGACTAAATACAAAAACGCTGCCGAGATCGTCAACAGTATGGCCTCTTTCTCCATTCTCCACTTTGCTGTTTCGGTTTTGTCTATATGCAATGTGTAAATGGGAAAGCAATCCTGTGTAAAATCTGTGCGACATGGGGGAATGGGGCTGCTGAAGTTACGAGTTGGCTATGTTTTTTTCAAGTTTCATTCACCTGCTCCGTTCTATTTATATTATCGTAACTGTTTGTATGTTATCTGAACTTTCTTCAGAGGCCTTGCAGTTGGTGGTAAAAGAATGTAAACCCAAGGCAAAGATTGTTGACCTATGTGAGAAAGGAGATTCTTTTATCAGGGAGTAAGTTCTGTTTGTATATACTTGGATCATACTGGTTAGTTTATGTTAGGCTGTTTTTAACTCGTGTTTCTTGTATTAGTTTTGATCATTCTCTCATTGAATTGTAATTGTAGACAAACTGGTAACATGTACAAGAATGTGAAGAAGAAGATTGAAAGGGGAGTGGCATTTCCTACTTGTGTTTCAGTAAACAATATTGTGTGCCATTTATCTCCTCTTGCCAGTGATGAGAGAGTTTTGGAAGAAGGTGATATTGTGAAAATGTAAGCTCTCGGTGTCTCTTATTTTATCGTTGTCCTCTGATGATTTAACTACTTGTTCAACCTAACTGTATTTTGGGCATGCAGTGATATGGGTTGTCACATAGATGGATTTATTGCCGTGGTTGCACATACTCATGTTATTAAAGATGGAGCAATTACTGGTCGAGCTGCCGATGTACTTGGAGCTGCCAATACTGCAGCTGAAGTTGCTTTGAGGCTTGTGAGGCCTGGGAAAAAGGTAAATTTCTCGTATTGTTTGTCTTCAACATTCAGTTTGTTATTTTCTGTCATTTCCATTTAGTTGGTTCTTTATCAGATTCATTGATTAGAAATCTAGAGTCTCTGCTTGACTGATATCATGTCTACTATACAGAGTTTTGTTGAAATGTTACTTCACATTTTTCACCGCAATCACTTCTTGCATTATTCTTGAGCCTTTTGTGTACCTTTTGCTCGAGTTTTTATCATAGTATTGCTACCGTGACCAGTATGTGGTGAAATTGATTTCATCAGCTATTGATAAGGGGTAAAGTATGAGACATTTAGATAGATAGAATTAGCCTATTCAGGGAACTAGTCCTAGGTGGAAGTCATAGCTATTTGCTGTTAAGGTGATCAGCTGCTTCTGGTATCCACTTTTTCCCGTTGCCAACATTGTGTATAGTACCTGTACCACCATGACTGCTGCATTTGATTGTGTCAAGATCTCTTCTGCTGTGTTACTGTCTTATTTTGTTCAAGTTTTGCCTTTGCCTGGAGATAACAGTCTATGTCTTGTGTTACTGATTGTTATTTTTCGTATCCTAGTTCTTTTATTTTCAGCTGTCTTTTTTCTGGTTTGATTATCTCTGAATGATGAAGCAATCAATGGACTAAGGACTTGTGTCCAATGAAGTCCTTATGTCATAGTTACCCTGACAGAGGATCTTCCACTTGTCCTTTTGATTTTATCAATTCCCTTTAATATTCTCAGCATTGTTACAGTTGCATCCAATATCAAACCATAATGTTCATGATATTGTAGCCATCCAATTGATGACAATCTGCTCGCTTCTTTATTTTCAATCATTGTGTCCTTATGATGAATAATAATGAAAAGCTATGGATTATTGTCCAAATGAGGCTTTTTTGTCATAGTTACTCTGACGGGGCAGTTGTATGTAAATGATGTTTATTTTTGTGGTAATTGTACTATTGGAGTGGTAGAGGTGTTGGTAATCTCACAATTAATTGTGTGTGGTAGAAATGTATGTGCTTGTTATTGATCTCAGCTGGTGGAAGGCAACTTTGCCATGGTGATTGGTGAAATGTATTGATCACCTGCTTTCCCTGTTGCCTATATTTATTCTTGCTTAATTTGACTGCTTGTTATCTATTTGTTTGATGTTGGACAACTTTTAGCCATCTCTAGCACACATTCACTTTTCTGCAGTCTCAAACTGTTTTTCCATCATGTCGACTGCTTTTTGCATGTTTCATTTCTTCAGTTTTGCGTTCTTAGCTGTAAAATGGCAACTTTGCTGAGGTGATTGGCAAAATATAAAGATTACCTGCTTTCCCTGTTGCCTAGATAATTTTGGCTGGATTTGGTTGCTTGCTGGCCAATTCTTTGCTTTTGGTGGCATTAACCTATCACTAGCCTACATCTGACCTTGTATATCTAGTTGATTTGTTTCTACATGGTTTGAAATTCTTTTGCAAATACATCTGTCTTGTTACAGATTAGAGGAGGGCACCTTTGCCGAGGTGATTGGTGAAAAATATTGGTTACCCGCTTTCCTGTTGCCTAAATAGTTTTTGGCTGGATTTGCTTGTTTACCAATTGTTTTTTGCTGTTGGTGTACATCTGATTAACCTATCACTAGCCTATCTGTGAATTTGCTTGTCCAGTTGATTGGTTTCTACATACTTAAAATTTCCTGTCTATCCTAGTTATAAGATCTATAAGAGGGCGACTTTGCCGAGGTGATTGGTGAAAAATATTGATTACCCGCTTTCCCTGTTGCCTATATCATGCTTGGCTGGATTTGTTAATTTGTTCACCAATGTGTTTGTTGGTGTACATTAACTACTCTAGCCTATATGTAAGATTTCCTGTCTATCCTAGTTATAAGATTTATAAGAGGGCGACTTTGCCGAGGTGATTGGTGGAATATATTGATTACCCGCTTTCCCTGTTGCCTATATCAATGCTTGGCTTGATTTGTTAACTTGTTCACCAATGTGTTTGTTGGTGTACATCAACAAATTTTGCCTATATGTCATTCTCTTTGTTGAAAGTTAACCATATCTGGTTGATTGATTCTGGTTACTGAATTTTTTTGTTAAGTTCGTTAGATTCGTAGTAAGAGAGATCAACAACTCTAGCCTATATGTAAGATTTCCTGTCTATCCTAGTTATAAGAGTTATAAGAGGGCGACTTTGCCGAGGTGATTGGTGAAATATATTGATTACCCGCTTTCCCTGTTGCCTATATCAATGCTTGGCTGGATTTGTTAACTTTTTCACCAATGTGTTTGTTGGTGTACATCAACAAATTTAGCATATATGTCATTCTCTTTGTTGAAAGTTTAAGCATATCTGGTTGATTGAATTCTGGTTACTGAAATTTCTTGTTAAGTTCAATAGATTCCTTGTAAGAGGAGGGTAAATTGTTCTGAAGTGTTTGGTGAAATACATTATTACTGGTTTTTTCCTGTTGCTTTGATGTTTTTTGGCTGGATTTGGTTGCTTGTTTCCTAGTGTGTTTGCTGCTGATTAATTGCTTTTTATATTTTTTTGTTTGATTACATAAAATGTATTTGCTTGGATGACTGTATTATGATATGCTCTGTTGGCTGGTGAATTTAGTGTAAACGTTTAAGCAAGCTGTTTGCATCTTTTTTTTTTTGTATGTACGACTACATTGCAAGTGCTGATGGTTTTAATTTGGTGGCAGAATAAAGATGTGTCGGATGCTATTCAGAAGGTTGCATCTGCTTATGATTGCAAAATTGTGGAGGGTGTTCTTAGTCACCAGCTTAAGCAGTTTGTGGTTGATGGAAACAAGGTTATCTTAAGTGCTTCCAATCCAGACACAAGAGTCGATGATATTGAATTTGAGGAGAACGAAGTTTATGCAGTAGATATTGTTACTAGCACGGGTGATGGGAAGGTAATTGGTGTTCAAATTTATGGTATTCGGAATGTGCAACCATCCCCTGCTTCTTTCTAACTTGATCTGTGTATATGTGTAGCCTAAGCTCCTAGATGAGAAAGAGACAACAATTTACAAGAGAGCCGTGGACAAGAATTATCACTTGAAGATGAAAGCTTCCAGATTCATTTTCAGTGAAATCAGCCAGAAGTTCCCTATCATGCCTTTCTCCGCCAGGTTTGTTGGATTTTTGCTGCTGGTATCATAGACATTACTTTTCTTTCGTGTTTTACTCAAATACTAGTGCTCATTGGACGCTGCAGAGCCTTAGAAGAGAAAAGAGCTAGGTTGGGACTGGTGGAATGTGTAAATCATGATCTTCTCCAGCCTTACCCTGTTCTTCATGAGAAGCCTGGTATTGAATCTGTAAAAGCTTATCTAGTTATTATCCCATTTTTTTTTGGGGTTGGATATTTACTGATCTCAAACGTGGTTTGTTTACAGGTGATTATGTGGCTCATATCAAGTTCACAGTGTTGTTGATGCCTAATGGTTCGGATAGGATAACATCACATCCTCTTCAGGAGTTGCAAGCTACGAAGGTGATTGATGATCCTGAAATTAAGGCATGGTTAGCTTTGGGTACCAAGACAAAGAAGAAGGGTGGAGGGAAGAAGAAGAAAGGTAAAAACTTTTTTGGCATGTATGGATGGAGCTGAAGATTGCAATATTTGGGTGTTTTTGCCTAATCTATTTTTCATTAACAGGCAAGAAAGCCGACAAAACGGTGGATGCTGCTGGTGCTGAAGCTGAGGCAGAACCGATGGACGAATCAACAGAGGCTGCGTCCCAACCCTAAAAAATTGTTATGATTTTGGGTCAATTCTGTTCAGTTTTGTTACACCACCACTGTTGCAACTTACTGTATCTGTGGTTGGTTTATGAGAATCCCAGTATAGTGGCTAGACTTTTGGGTCCCTGTTGAATATTTACCTGCATGAAAATGGCATATTCTCATGACACCCAAGTTCCTGTACTGCCTTTTGCCCTCACTGTACTAATGTTAATTTAACTTTAGAGAGTTGCCCATTTGAGTGTTAAAACGTAATGTATGTAGCCTCATTATCTTGATCCATGTATGCTCTTGATATGAAATTTGAGCCTAGTGATCATTGATAAAACCTAGACGGTGATAATTGATAAACCCTAAACGGAAATAATGGCTCTGCTAGTTTCAGATTATTGAACTTCTGCACCACCGGTTAATTGATTGGAAAGGCCGCCCTACCTGGCCACCTCCTCTGTTCTATTGTTGCTGTCGGAGTTCCTCCCAAGTGGGCGGAAGCAGGTTATACAAAAAAAGTAGGCGGAAGAACGAAGACGACGGCCACACTGGTCCTTCTGTTGGCGTCCAGCAGGAGGAAGTACAAAAAGTTTTCAGGTACATATTTACTGTTACCTTATCTACAGATACTTGTAAATATATTAATTGCCGGCTTAATTGCAAGTTTGGTCACTCGAATTGCTATAAAATTTCACGTTTCCCACTCAAATTAATTTATTCCATTTATAGTCACTCGAATTAGTTGAACAGTTCAAGTTCGGTCACTCTCCGTTAACCTCCGTTAACTTTGACTGACGTGGCGGTCAACTCTGACAGTTGACCGTTAAATTTGTGACGTGGCAAATAAAAAATAATTAAAAAATAAAAATTAAATTTTTAGAAATTACACATCATTATAAAAAAAAATTATAATTATAAAAAATGAAAAAAAAAATTATAATTACCTGAGCAGATTTAATTATATATAACAAGCTCTGAATCCTGACATTGTAGGTAGCAGTTCCAGGGGAGATCGAGTACTCTGTCTTCATCATGTCCAAAACTTTCCCTACTTCTTCAAACTTCTCTTCCTTGTAGAACCCCGCCAGCAGGTGGGAGAAAGTAGTGGCGTTAGGCTTGATTCTGTTCTTCTTCATCTCTCCCAGGAGCGAGTAAACCGAGCTCGAACTATCGGACACGGTAAACGACTTGATCCCGGTGTTATAAGTGTCTAGATTCGGACTGATTGAGTAGATTGCAGGGAAATCGACGAAGATCCGCTTTACCTCGCCGTAGTTCTTCGCGATGGCGCAGGCGAAGAGCAACGTGTTCAGCGTCTTCACCGAACCGGATTCGGAGTCGGCGTCTTCGTGGTGCTTCTTGAAGGTGGCGATCGCGTCGTCGACCATGTTGGCCTGGCCGAAGAGGACGATGGCCTGAGCGGCGAATTTCTCGGTGCGGAGGTCGGGGCGGTCGCGGCGGTGCTCGTCGAGGAGCTGCTTGACGTAGGAGAACTGGTTGGATTTGGAGAGCTTGGTGACGGCGACGGAGAAGGCGATGCGGTCGAGGTGGAGGTCGGGGGTCAGAGACGCCGCGCGGCATATCTCGAGGATTTTCTCAGGGTTTTGCTCTGATTTGAGGAGGGAGAGCGCGACGCGGGTTTTGTCCTTGGCGGAGAGGGGAGTCTTGGAGTCCGGCGATAGGATCGTAACTTTATAATTAAGGTTATTATAATTTCTTTTTTTCATTTTTTATAATTATAATTTTTTTTATAATGATGTGTTTTTCTAAAAATTTAATTTTTATTTTTTAATTATTTTTTATTTGCCACATCACAAATTTAACGGTCAATTGTCAGAGTTGACCGCCACGTCAGTCAAAGTTAACGGAGGTTAACGGAGAGTGACCGAACTTGAACTGTTCAACTAATTCGAGTGACTATAAATGGAATAAATTAATTTGAGTGGCAAACGTAAAATTTTATAGCAATTCGAGTGACCAAACTTGCAATTAAGCCATTAATTGCCATTAGGGCTTTGCAGCAAAAGCATCGTGTCCTACACAAATGACAAAACAACTTTCAGTACTTGATCAAATGGCAAGGAGCATGATCGTTGAGAGCTTTGGGCTTGAGAAGTACGTGGATGAGGATGATGAATTAAAAATAAACGAAGTAAGGTATTAAAGTAAATTTAATTTTATTAGAGTGATGAATAAGGAATTTTAGGGCGACGAATAGTAATGCCCAAAAACAATCTAAATAAGAGTCAACAAGTAAGGTCCAACCCACACACAATACAAGAAAAGAAATCATAGATTAACAGTAGTTTACTTTTTCCGAATAACAAAACATTGTCCATGGCAACAATGCCAATAAAACTTGACTCACGATATATTACACATTCTCAAATCCCAACGTAGGTCAAGTATAATCCTACTGCGAGTGTAGTATAGGGTAAGTATATTTTCAATTATCAGCCTGAGCGGTTCGTTTACTCCTACTTTAGTAAACTACAATTTATCTAGCGATAAGAACGTTGTTTAAAACTATCAATCAACTAAAATGATGTTGAATTCAAATGAGAAGGCTCCACTTGGATGATTACCCCCCTAGCCCCGTGTTGAGATGATAATGTGACACTTTTGTGTGATTTGCAAGTTCTATATATCGTTAGGAGATCTAAGATAGTTAGGACCACACTATTCGAGTGCATTCTAACCCGCCTAATTGCTCTAATTAGAGGGGCGTACCACACTACCACATTGGACAATTAGGGCAACCATATACACTCACTCGGGCATTGACTCGGAACAACGTAAAGACACCAATCACCCTCGTTCATGGTTCTCAATGAATACTGACGCAAATTGCCACAAGAAGATCTTCTCGCTCAAAGGTTTTTGCCCCAAAATTAAGAGAATTGATCAAGGACACTCAATTTTCATGATAAACATGTTGGGTTAATTACATGGTTGGTCACTGAGATTACGAAAAACGTTCAAGTTTGGTCACTCGAAATATTTAAATCCATTGGTGGTACTTCAGTTTACTTAAATCGTTCACGTTTTTTCACTATCCGTCCAACTCCGTTAACTTTGACTGATGTGGCAGTCAACTCTTAAAGTTGACCGTTAACTTAGTGACGTGGCAATTAAGAAATAATAAATAAAATATTATTTATTTTAATGTCCAACTCATTTTTACCATAAAATAAATAAAAAATTTAATCTATTTTTTATCCCGCGCTCGTTCCCCAACTCTCTCAAGTGTTGTTGCCCGGCCGACGAGAACATTCGCGACGACACCCATCGTCGTCTCCCTTGGCCCACTGTTTACCCATAAAAATTAACCTTGTACCACATCGGTTAAAAACAAGGAATTAAATGGCTTTATAAGGCCAACTTAATCATATCAGTTTAAATCAGTTGAGTGGACCATGAAGATTGACTTTTTGGCCCATTACTCCGTGCCACCATGCTCGCCATGTATCTCCGAATTTGGCTAAGTATGGGAGCCACCCCCATGACACGCAGAGGGGGTGGACGTTATACCACCACCCCCAGGACGTGGCAAGGGGGGTGAGCATCATACCGTCACCCCCATGACATGGTGAGGGGCGGTGATCCATATGACCCCCATGAAGGATGCTCCAATAGTATGGTTAGGGGGTCGTCACCAATGTGAGCACGTGGTCTCTTTACTCTACTAATGGTGAAATACTTTTTGCCATGGTAACTCATGTTATTCAAATATCCACCCATATGTGGTAAGTGGTATTCCTTTATGCCTTAGCCATTTTTACTCTATGGATAAGCAAAACTATGAAGGAGGGGGTTTCAAGAGGAGAGGGGCAAAACTACGAAGGAGCCATTTTTACTCAAGAGATGCCAAGAGCATAGGTTGAGGTTTCAAGAGGAGGGGGTCAAGACTGAAGAGGATCCCACATCCAACATCAGGGTAACCGTCATAGCAGTTGAGAAGGTAACCGTCACTCCACGTCAGCAGAGCAGTTTCTTGGGGCAGTTACTTCTGGTGGCTATAAATAGGAGGTGAAGATGACAGAGAAAGGGTTCGCAAAAATCACAACACGACACCACTTGTCAAGTTTTATCTTTTTATCTTTTCCTCTGCAGATTTTAGCCATAGTCGTAGTTTTTGGAGCTCTCACTGAACCTCCATAGGAGTAGGGCTAATTTAATGTAGATTTGCCTCGTAGTTCATCAAAACATTGAACACCCTTGTTTGAACTTTGTTCAAAGAGGTGTGAACTGTGTTGTTTGATCGTTTGTTTGGAAGTCAAAGGTGCAAAATCCAATTCTCTTTCCTTTATTTTTCTCGCCGGGAAAACAAATTGGCACACCTGGTGGGACACGTGTGTTAGATTTGATGGCTCAGAAGCAGCACTTGACTTGCAAAGAATGCTCGGAGAAGTTACTGGATGCTACGTGGAGCTGATTTTTGGGAAGAGAGAGAGAAGGCGGTTAGAGGGTGAGGCACAACAAAACTGGCAGCAAGACTCTGGACGAAGGACAGACAAATCATACCACAACAAGCCTCGTCAAAATTTATCTTTTCTATCTAGAACAGTAGCAGTAGCACCAGGGACCCTCCAACGAGGCTTCTCTGTTAGTTGTAGTCAGTAGTTGCGGAGCACTCAAAGAATCTCCATAGGAGTAGAGGTAAAAGTATCCAGTACCTTTGATGTATGCATCGAACACCCTCGTTCGAACAATGTTTGAAGAGGTGTGAACCGAGTAAAATCGTTTTCCGTTTTCTTGAAGTCAGAGTGCATTGATCACGCGAAATTCCACCTGAAACAAATTGGCACACCCGGTGGGACAACATGTGTTCGATATGGCTCCGCGACGAAGGATTCAGGATGGTGATCCTCCACAAGATGCTGTGGAGGAGTTGCAGTTGGTTAACGTTGAATTTGACCAAGCAGGAGGAAACAATGTTGGAGCACAGGCGCCAAACATGGCACCAAATGTAGATCTAGGCGAGGCAGTGGTGTCTCTTCGTCAGATGATGGAGGAGAACCGCAAAGCAACGGAGGAGAACCGCCAAATGATGGTGGAGAGTCGTCGGTTGATAGAGGAAGCCAGAGCTATGGCTCATCAGCTAAACTGTCAAGTTGATTGTCTCAATTCCTGCGTAGATAGACGATTGGCTCAATTGTTTGAGTTGGTAAACAAAAATACGAATGATTTGGGTGAGTTAAGGCAATTGTTGAACAAGCCAGTTTTACAAACTAGGGCTTTGTCTTCAGATGGTCGAGACTTTCCAAATCTTGAAAGTGAAAACGTTAACCTACCATCCAACGGTGGTGGTCGAGGTGAGCAGCCACGCCCGGTGAACTCTACACCACCGGTGACAACCACCGTACCAACACCTCAAAGGGTGAATGTTGGCGAGAGTCATGCCACTTCATCTAAGATCCATGTTGAGCAACCACCACCTAGGCAAGGTGTTGCTTGACAAAACATTTCAGAAGCCAGACCATACATGGCTCCTGTTAATGTTGGGATGGGTTTGGGTCCAAACAATGTTGACCCGATACTACCACGTGAGTACCAGCAACAAATCACTCTCCCTATGAATATGCAAGGTGTGGATCCTGGTGGATTCATACCACTTGGGGGGCAAGGAGGGGGGCATGAGATCCCACCGCATGGAAGATTGAAGGAGAAACAATATCGTCAGTGGCAAAGAAGTTTGCCACATCAAGAATGTTCTAGAAAAAATCAGATGAGGTTGCCACAAATTCTCCTCAATATGGAGGTGGTGGCCACATGAAAAAATTCAATGCTGCGAAAGCTGGCATAAATCAGTATAATCCTCCATGTAAAGGGTCTTCAAAGACTCCACTGAGTGGACAGGGGGGCAAGCTCGATCAAATCCGACATGGAGTTGCCACACCAATGCTGGCTGTGAATAAGTCTGCCATGAATGGTGGACATGAGGGCAAGACCAATTCGCGCACACGTGTTGGTGGAGCTCGCAAACCTCGGTGCTCACCCTCTCAACGTCAGGAAAGTGTGCAGTCGACAAAAATTAACCATCGTGGGCAAGTGATGCCACATGGTCGATTTGGCCAGACAAAGGTGCCAAAAAACATGAATATCCTGTCTATAGCCAAGAACGCTTATGGTTTTCGTGAGGCTGAGATGAGGCCAAATCAGGCTTGTGGAGTTTTGAACAAAGTTGTTCGAGCTGGGACGAAATGGAGAGTTGCAAGCCAACAATGGCTCCACATCAAAACCAACATGTGTGAAGCCAGCTATGACAAGCCATGGCATTCACGGATGGTATGTTTGGTTTGATATGTGGAGTTGGCAATGGGTATGGACCTGCGACATGATGGCCTATGCCAAAGTCTAGCTTATTATTAAATAAATAAAGTGTGGCTAAATTAGGCCATGTTATATGTTAAAAAAAAACTAAAAATTATTAAAATATTTTGGTGACGTTATTAAAAAGAAGCCACAACGTTGTTGAAAATGGTTCAAGATGACAAGCACATTGCCTCATGTGATGTGTTGGAGAATATCAATCTTGGCATGGAGGACGATCCTCGTCCAACTTTTATAAGTGACAACTTACGAGAGTCTTATATTAATGGCAAGTACTTTATGCCTTATGTACCGTCCCTTTGGGACATTAAGGAGTGTTAGTAATTTAGATGCCGACCAAGTGCAGACGGAGACCTAGTTGAAGTTGACATGGTTTCTAAGATGTGCAACATGGCCGAGGAGTGAGATGGCCAGGACAAATCTTTTCTGGATTGGCCATTAAAAGAGATTTGTTTTTCTCGGAAGCAAAATGGTTGCCGTCCAACTAGATGGTTTGGATGGTTGAGTCAAAACATGGTTACCTTGCCACCTTCTGGATAGATTGTATCATCCATGTTACTAGAAGCCAAGGATGGTTGGCCTTAAGTAATTTGTAACTATGGTTTGGTTAAGTGGTTGCATGGATAGTGTTGTCCAAGCAAAATGACATCATCCATGTTGTATATGGATTGTGATTGAGTTTGGCTGAGTAACCATCCATGATTGAGAGGAGGAGTACCTGAGCTTGGTGACTTGAGGCCGAGCAGTAGCAAGAGTCTTGCCATGGGGAAGCATCGCACAGCTTTGGAGGTACGATGATATTTTTTGAGTTGTGAATTATGGTGAATGGGAGCATCAATTTATAGAGAAAAGTTTAATTCTGCCCTAATAGGAATGAGTTACCTCTTGCTAGTAGGATATGGATTATGAGGTGTGTCCTACATGAAAAAGAATTTGTGTTCCTTATCACAAAAGGAAAAGGTAGGCTACATTAATTGGCTAAATTTTTTTATTTTTAGCCGAGTTGGAGAGGGACACCCTCTTGGTGTGTTTTGTTTACATGGCCAGGAAGGAATTACATTCCTTATGTGACTTGGACATGGCTACATAAAGCCAACATCTGCTTCAAGTGGTTGTGCATCTAGTATAGTTGGTGTCAACAACTTAGTTCATAAGAATTAGTTCTTATAAATTAAGTTGTGGGGGGCATTTGTTTACACGAAAATAATTTTCATTAATTATTGCTTGTGTGAACAGCTTGACCAATTTAAGTAGTTGGTCCATGTGTACATGAATGGTCCAATTTATCAAGTCAGGCCATAGGAATAATGGATGGTATTGTCCAAATACATGGATACCATCCAAAATCCATAATGGATGGTAGTGTCCAATGTAATCGATACCGTCCAAACCCTAATGGATGATGCTAGGGTATGGTGACCATTTAATATGCGTACCATCCATGGACTGTTGTCTTAGTCAACATGGATACCATCCAACTTGTTTTGTGTACGGTGACCGTCCAATGGTCAAGTGACATGATGACGCGTCGAGGTGGTTACCAGAAGCAGCACTTGACTTGCAAAGAACGCTCGGGGAAGTTACTGGATGCTACGTGGAGCTGATTTTTGGGAAGAGAGAGAGAAGGCGGTTAGAGGGTGAGGCACAACAAAACTGGCAGCAAGACTCTGGACGAAGGACAGACAAATCATACCACAACAAGTCTCCTCAAAATTTATCTTTTCTCTCTAGAACAATAACCATAGCAGTAGCACCAGGGACCCTCCAACGAGGCTTCTCTGTTAGTTGTAGTCAGTAGTTGCGGAGCTCTCAAGGAATCTCCATAGGAGTAGAGGTAAAAGTAGCCAGTTCCTTTGATGTATGCATCGAACACCCTCGTTCGAACAGTATTTAAAGAGGTGTGAACCGAGTAACATCGTTTTACGTTTTCTTGAAGTCAGGGTGCATTGATCAGGCGAAAATCCACCTGAAAAAAATTGGCACACCCGGTGGGACAACGTGTGTTCGATATGGCTCCGCGACGAAGGATTCAGGATGGTGATCCTCCACAAGGTGCTGTGGAGGAGGGGCAGTTGGTTAACGTTGAAGTTGACCAAGCAGGAGGAAACAATGTTGGAGCACAGGAGCCAAACATGGCACCAAATGTAGATCTAGGCGAGGCAGTGGTGTCTCTTAGTCAGATGATGGAGGAAAACCGCAAAGCAACGGAGGAGAACCGCCAAATGATGGCGGAGAGTCGTCGGTTGATAGAGGAAGCCATAGCTATGGCTCATCAGGTAAACTCTCAATTTGATTGTCTCAATTCCCGCGTAGATAGACGATTGGCTCAATTGTTTGAGTTGGTAAACAAAAATACGAATGATTTGGGTGAGTTAAGACAATTGTTGAACACACCAGTTTTACAAACTAGGGCTTTGTCTTCAGATGGTCGAGACTTTCCAAATCTTGAAAGTGAAAACGTTAACCTACCATCCAACAGTGGTGGTCGAGGTGAGCAGCCACGCCCGGTGAACTCTACACCACCGGTGACAACCACCGTACCAACACCTCAAAGGGTGAATGATGGCGAGAGTCACACCACTTCATCTAAGATCCATGTCGAGTAGTCGAGCAACCACCACCTAGGCAAGGTGTTGCTCGACAAAACATTTCAGAAGCCAGACCATACATGGCACCATACATGGCTCATGTTAATGTTGGGATGGGTTTGGGTCCAAACAATGTTGACCCGATACTACCACGTGAGTACCCGCAGCAAATACCGCCCCCTATGAATATGCAAGGTGTGGATCCTGGTGGATTCATACCACTTGGGGGCAAGGAGGGGGGCATGAGATCCCACCACATGGAAGATTGAAGGAGAAACAATATCGTCAGTGGCAAAGAAGTTTGCCACATCCAGCATGTTCTAGAAAAAATCAGATGAGGGTTGCCACAAATTCTCCACAATATGGAGGTGGTGGCCACATGAAAAAATTAAATGCTGCGAAAGCTGGCATAACTCAGTGTAATCCTCCATGTAAAGGGTCTTCAAAGACTCCACTGAGTGGACAGGGGGGCAAGCTCGATCAAACCCGACATGGAGTTGCCACACCAATGCTGGCTGTGAACAAGTCTGCCATGAATGGTGGACATGTGGGCAAGACCAATTCGCACACACATGTTGGTGGAGCTCGCAAACCTCGGTGTGCACCCTCTCAACGTCAGGAGAGTGTGCAGTCGACAAAAAATAACCATTGTGGGCAAGTGATGCCACATGGTCGATTTGGCCAGACAAAGGTGCAAAAAACATGAATATCCTGTCTAGAGCGTGGCCCTAGTGGTTGGCGTCATCGGAATCGTGGGCAACAACTTGGTAGAGATCCTCTTGCTCGCCGACACTCCCGGTGGGCCATGGAAGGTCTACGATGTAGCTCGTCGTCCTCGCCCCAATTGGAACTCCGAGCACCCAATCGAGTACATCAAATGCGATCGCCGACGCCTCCGACGTCGATTCGAAGCTCTCCCCACTCCCCGACGTCATCCACGTCTTCTACGTCACGTGGGCCAACCGCCCCACCGAGTCAGAGAATCAATGGCAAGATGTTGAGGAACCTCCTCGCCGTTGTCGTTCCCAACGTGCCAAATCTCCAGCATATTTGCCTTCAGATCGACCCAAGCTTCCACGTTCGTCATCAAGCAATGCATAATGATCGAATCCCTCCGGCGTCAATCTTTGCCCTGACGGTGGTCGGATGATATTCTCCGTCATGTTCTACGAGAAGCTTCTGGTCCTAATTCTCAGAAGAGTAAGGGGAACGAGCGCGGGATAAAAATAGATTAAATTTATAATTTTTATTTTATGGTAAAAATGAGTTGGACATTAAATAGATTAAATTTTATTTATTATTTCTTAATTGTCATGTCATTAAGTTAACAGTCAACTTTGAGAGTTGACTGCCATACCAGCCAAAGTTAACGGAGTTGGACGAAGAGTAACCAAACGTGAACGGTTTTAGTAAACTGAAGTACCATCAATGAATTTAAATATTTTGAGTGACTAAACTTGGCGCATATGGAAGGCTCGGAATTGGGTGGTTTTTGAGTCCACGTTGTTCACCCCGGCCGTGTTACTCTCTCAGCTCAGGCGACAAGTGGCAGAATGGGAGGCGGTGCCTTTGAGTAGTGGGGTAGCGTCATCCCTGCCTCTGGGGATGGGTTGAGGGGAAGTCAGGGGGGGTGCATGATCGGGAGGGGGCGATGTGGGTGTTCACAGATGGGGCTGTTCGTTCTGGCTCTCATGGTGCAAGTGGCTGGGTTCTGGAGGACTCCTCGGGGACGCTGCTTGGGGCAGATGCATCAGTGTATCCGGACGTGCAAGATCCTTTCTTAGTGGAGCTCCTAGCCTTGAGGGACGGCATTCGGTGGGCGCTTGATAGGGGGGGGGGGTGCAGGACGTCCTGTTTGCAGGTGATGCCAAGGTGGTCCTTGACAAGGTGAAGGAGGGATCGTGTTTGGATGCTCGTGGTGGGGTAATTTTGGAGGAGATCAAGATTTTGAGGCAATGTTTCCTCAAGTCTAGCGTTTGTTTTGTTGGACGTGCGCGTAATAGGGTGGCCCATATGGTGGCCAGAAAAGCCCTTTCTTTGTTCCCTAGTCTGATAGGGTTTGATTTTCGTTCTTGGCTTTGGTCAGCTATTTGACATTAGTATATCTTGATTATCTCGTTCAATACAAAGTATCTTTTGAAAAAAAAAAAAAACATGCAATTAACCCTAAATATGCCCATCATCGTTCACAAACATCAATCTACAATATTCTAGCCTGTAAAAGGTCAGAACCGGCCCATAAGGAAGTACAGAATCTGGAACAAAGGTGTCCAGAACAAGCCCATAATGTTAAATGTAAACAAAGCGGATTCTGAAATCCTATTGGTTGATTGGCGTGTAGCCATCCAGCAGTGCCACGTATACCAACGTCAGCGAGGCAGGCAATCAACTATGTATATATCCGGAAACGTCTAGAGTTTCCCGAACCCCGCGAAAATACTGAAACCTCGCCTTTTCCTTAGTTCAATTCCCTTCCTTTCGTCCTCATTCAACTATTGTTCCTCTCCTCTTGCTAAGCCCTTAACTGAAAAATATCGCGTGGTTGCTTTGGCGAGTTCTTCGGCTATGAAGATCAATGGAGGCGGCCTGGCATTGGCAGCGATCATTGGTCTCTCCCTGATTCTGCTGACCGAGGCAGCCAAAAATGTCGACCCTTACAAGGTAACATCTTTGCTCCTAGTTTTCATGATCTCGTAGTTTCAGTCCGTTGATAGTTTGCGCCGTAGCCCTACCGGGCTGATTGAGCCGAGGTTAAGAATGCCATTGCACATTGTTGCCTGTGATTGCTCTGTCGGGAGTTTTCCTCCCCTGTTCAAATCTAGCATGTGAAATCGCACTTGTGCAGTTGGATTCGTAAGATGGGGTTTTGGGTTGTCTGTTCTGATGGTTGGTTCGGTTTTAACAATCTTGTGCTAGTTATAAGCTTGCTTATTGATGGCTTGATTCCCAGGAAAGAGGGGTTTATTGTGAAATTCTTAAAAGTCTGAATGCAAAGTTCTCCTTAAGAAAGAATGCCTAGAGAAGTCTTGTGAAGCTTGGATTTTATAGTTCCAGTTTCTTATGTGTTGATCCATTGATGGAATCGATTCTTATTTCAGGTTCTTGGGGTTGAGCGAAACGCAGGCCAACGAGAAATACAGAAAGCTTTCCACAAGTATGCCCTTTATCTCCCCTTTCAAGTTTAAATGGGTTTGATAGTTTAGTTAGTAGAAACTAGAAACCTCGTTGCTGCTTTTTATAGCATTTAGATTTCTGGGCAATCTGTATTGAGTATTTTAAGATTTGATTATGTGCTTGATATGGCTAAACGAGTGAAGAATATTTGTGTCTAATCCTTTGCTTTCCGTTCACTGCATTATTGGAACTAGTCTTAGGTGTTCAGAATGATGTCCTTGTTGGTGAAGAGTACATCTTCAACAGACACCTTGACTGCTTATTAGTAATTAGTATTGTTATTTGAGTTCGTGTGTTCTTTTACTTGGTGGAGGAGAAAATATGAGAATGTAGCTTAGTTAGCAATGGAGGTTGTTTCGGTTAGTTATCAAGCTGGTAATAGATGATGATAGTATAGTACCAACTAGCTTCTTCAAATGCAATTTGTTACTCACAAATATGGAATATGCCTGCATAACCTCTGTTGGTAGACCCTTATTGATCTATCTTAGAGGCTTGGTATCCATTTTTTCTGCATATTGGTGGGTTAAAGTGCTTATTCTGATCGTGCTGCCATTTTGTAGGCTTTCTCTGCAATATCACCCTGACAAGAACAAAAAGAAGGGAGCCCAAGAGAAGTTTGCTGAGATCAATAACGGTACTCAAATGGCTACTTTTCTTGGTTCTTTCTGTGTAACCAAATGTTTCAATGTTGCAGTGTTAATTTTCTTTTCATGTTTCAACAGCATACGAGATCCTCTCAGATGAAGAAAAGCGGAAAAATTATGACCTATATGGAAATGAGATGGGAAACTCTGGATTTGATTCTGGTTACCCCGGAGATGATGGGGGGTATAGACACTACACAGGAGGGCAGGGCTCAAGTGGATTTAGCTTTAGGCCAGGGGAATGGCAGAATATGGGAGGGAAAGGAGGTTCCAAGTCATTCTCGTTTTCCTTTGGTGGTGGTCCTAGTGCTCAGAACTCATTCGGTTTTGGGATGGATGACCTATTTTCAAATTTCTTTGGAGATAAATCACGTGGGGCTCAGGCTAGCAGCTTTGGTCGCTCAACTAGGTCTCAAGGGAGGTCTCAATCTGGCTCTACAACTTCTCCTAAGAGCATCAAGGACATTAATTCTCAAGTCTATAAGAAAGAAGTTATCGATCAAGGAATCACATGGCTTATACTGTCATATACTCCCTCTGTGAGGGGAACCGAGTATTATGAGTCAATCATACAGGAGGTTTCTGATCCACTTCAAGGAGCGTTAAAGGTAACCACTCGTTTCGTTTCCCTTTCAGTATGTGCTTTCCCATAGCTAGTGTATCTCCACATAATGAGTCTATCTCACCTTGTTGAAGGTTGGGAGCATACATTGTGAGACTCAGAGATCTCTGTGCATGGAGCTTGGCATAAACCCTCGCAAGGAGCCCAGGGTTTTTCTTTATACCTATAAGGAAAACAATGAGGGTTCTTTGGTGGAGTATACAGGTGATTTGGTCCCAAAGAATTTGAAGGCATTTTGCCAAGACCATCTGCCGAGGTTCTCAACAAGGATAAAACTTAACAATTTGAAGTCTTTGTCCAATGGTGGTGGGAAACTGCCTAGCGTTTTGCTTCTTTCCACCAAACGTGATACACCTGTGATCTGGCGTGCCCTCAGTGGCTTGTATCATAAGCGCTTTACATTTAACGATGTTGAGGTATATGGTCCATTTCTAAACCATGCTGAGTTTTCTAATTTTCTACATGGCTTGAACTTACTTACAAGGCCAATGTGTATCCACCAGGTCCATGATGTTAATGATCCGATGGTGAAGGAGCTAGGAGTGGACCAACTTCCAGCCATGGTCGGCTGGCTATCAAATGGAGAGAAGCATGTAATAAAGACAGGTGTTTCAGTGAAAGATCTGAAGTCTGGAATTCAAGATCTTGGCAACGTACTCGATGGGTTTGAGAGGAAGAATAAGAAGATTGCTCCAAATCAGGGCAAAACCTCGCAAGCTGAGAACAGAGTACCACTGCTTGACGGATTAACTTATAATGATGTATGTGGGGAGAGGATCCCGGTTTGTATAATTGGTGCTTACAGATCTTCAACAGCAAGAGAGAAGCTGGCATCTATTCTGTCTGTGGTAAGTGAACTCTGCATCTGTTGGTTAACAATGTGCAATATTTTCTATAAGCATCATAGTGTTGCAAGTTGACAAATGGTTTGGTTTGCTTCAGGTTTCTCAAAAATCCTTATCCAGGCGACCGAACTCAGCATCCAGCTCTCAGGATGCCGTCTCCTACGCAATGTTAGATGTTGCAGCACAGCAAACGTTCATGAACGCATTCGACAGGTATGGATTCAAGTCGGCTGACAGAACTTTAATTGCGTACAAGCCTCGAAAGGGGAAGTTTGCAAAGTTTGAAGGCGAGATGACTATAGAAGCAGTAGAGGCATTCATAAGCTCCGTTTTGAATGGAGAAGTGCAGTTTACTAAAATTCGCCAGAAGCCGGCAATCAAGTGAGATGTCGGACACTATTGGCTAACAAATCTTTTTGTGGGTAAATTTTTAGCGAATGGTGTACATAGCACAGAAAACTATAGAATGCAATGCAAATATAAAATGGCCAATTGATAAATCCTCTATGGTCTCGGATTTTGTGACCGAATAGTATGCAATAGATAGTGTACATTATGTGCGTGGATCAGGTAAACTAGTCTGCAAATCTAATTGACAGGAGGTATGGAAATAAGATCTCGTAGCCATTTCAAGCTGAATGAATTAATCTCAGCTTGGACGAAAGCCTCCTCACTAAATAAAGCCTTAGTAACGATTAATGGCCCTGATCTTAATGCATTGTAAGAAAGGTGAGTAGGATGGTTAACCAGTTTTGACCCAGCAGTAATTATCTGGTTTAAGAGATAAATCATATGTTCCTAGATTTATAACAGGGAAAATGCTCGGTTTCTCAGCTTTCAGGACTCGAACCTGAAGTTGCACAAGCAATTACATTGTTCGAGTGAAGCAACTTTGTCTTGAGACCGAGAATTAAAATATCATACCATATCAATGGTTCGAAAAACTCATATTATAGGCTAAATTGGTAGGCAGTATTTAACGATATGAAATGGTTGAATTACAATAAACTACAATTTCTAAATAAAATACTATATAGTTGATTTTTCCAATACAGTATTTCAGTTCTGCTTGAGACATCTAAGAGAAAAGAAAGAGGCGTCATTGTAGCATGTTTCCCCTTTCATACTTCAGACTTTGTTTTCTCGTCTTTTGTTCTGTATGTTTTTCCTCTATAAATAATAGCTAAGTTGCTCGTTGTCTTTTTTTGCTTTGCTCCTTGATTTTAAAGTTTAAACCAAAATTAGGGGTGTTCAGGGTGGGGAATAAGTGGGTCGGGTGGGGTTTGGCCTCAAATTTATCTACTAGCGGGTTGGTGTAATTGATTGTAACCCGTTGCTATTCACCCACATTCTCCTTCGAATTTGGTTGGGTGGGTGGCTGATAGATGGGTTGTGAGTCAATCCGCAAAACCAAATCTCCATCTAGTAATTAACAAAATTGAATAACATTTATAATAAGTTCTTCACAAATTATTAAGACTATATCAGTTTAGACACTTCTGACTTAGTCTCATATGGATCCGTGTAGTATTTTGATAGATGCTTGTTGATCAGAAAGGGAATTAGGGATTGAGAGAAGAAGTAGATTAGGGATTTGAGAGAATTGGGGAAGAATCAGAGAAAGATAGGAATAGGGATTTCTGTTATTTCTTGCTTAATTCCCAAATGAGTGTACAGAACCCCTTTTTATAAGTTTAATGGAAAATAACAAAATGGCCACTCCTACTCTACCCAGCCGACCGGCCGACCCGCCCTCTCCCCTCTCACCCTCGGTTTCTATCATCCCCTTCCCCATCAGAAGTGACTTTGTCCTCAAGGTCAAATGTCGGGAACCGCTGCCGAAGGGTTGCCGTCTCTTCCCAAGTGGCGTCCTCCCTCTTCATGTGCTGCCACAGGACCAAGCTTTCCTCGATCACTCGTCCGCCCTTCTTGACCCACCTGGTGTCTAACACCTGCAAAGGAACTAGCTCGAGGTCCCCATCCGCCGATACTGGTGGAGCAGTCGTCGCCACGCGATCAGCCGCGCCGCGATACCTCTTCAATAGGGACACATGAAAGGTAGAATGAATGCGCGCATCTGCCGGAAGCTGCAGACGATAGGCCACTGGATTAATCTTCTGCAACACCTCGTACGGCCCAAAATACCGCGCCGCCAGCTTCTGATATGCCCGCCGGAATACAGAAGCCTGCCTGTAGGGGTGCAGACGAAGCAGAACCCAGTCACCCACCTCAAACTCCTCTTCTCGTCGTCCTGCATCCGCCAACTGCTTCATCTTATTATTGGCAGCCGCCAAATTAGCCTTGAGCTGATCCAGGGCCTCATCCCGTGCTCCTAACCATCGATCCACGGCGTCCACTGGACTAGCGCCCCCCTGATAGCGCACCAGAGAAGGTGGTGGGCGCCCGTACAAAGCCTCAAACGGTGTCATCTGAATCGCCCTATGGTATGCAGAGTTATACCAAAGCTCAGCCCAGGGCAATAAGGCCAGCCACCGTCGGGGCTGCTGATGGGTGAAACAACGCAGATACTGCTCCAAATATCGGTTAACCACCTCGGTCTGGCCATCTGTCTGGGGGTGATAGGCCGAGCTCATCCGTAATGTCGTCCGAGCCAAAGCAAACACCTCCTGCCAAAGCGACTCAAGAAAACGGAGTCCCGGTCACTGACAATAGACCGCGGGAATCCGTGGTGCCGGACCACCCCTAAGACAAACTGCTCGGCTACAGATCGAGCGGTATACGGATGGGCCAGAGCCATGAAATGGGCATACTTCGTCAGTCGATCAACGACGACAAACATGACCGTCTTCCCTCCGGATGGTGGCAACCCGACGATGAAATCCATACTGATGTCCTCCCATACCCTCTCTGGTACCGGCAATGGTTGAAGAAGACCCGCTGGCCGCAAATGGGATGCTTTAACTCTCTGGCATGTGTCACAAGATGCGACATAGTCCTTCACATCCCGGCCCATCTGGGGCCAATAAAACTGTGCTCGGATCCTCCTCAGTGTCCGCTCTACCCCTGAGTGACCCCCGAACGGAGAGTCATGGAATTCCTGTAACACTGTCGTCACCAAAGACGACCCTCGGGGCAGCACCACGCGCCCACGGAAAAACACCAGGCCCTGCCGACAAGAGTATTGGCCGGGTTTGGTGCTAACTGCTGTCTCACGGCACCTCTGCAGATAATCATCTGTCTCTGTAAGAGCGCGCAGAGCGTCCCAAAACTGCGGTACTGGTCCTGTGACTGCCGCCAAAACCTCACCCCCTGGACTCCTCGAGAGCCCATCTGCCACGACATTAGATGGCCCGGGCCGATAGTGGATCTCATAATCATAACCAAGGAGCTTGGAGACCCACTTGTGCTGATCGGGGGTGGAAACGCGCTGCTCCAACAAATTCCTCAAACTCTGATGGTCGGTATAAATGTGGAACTTGTTGCCCAGGAGGTACGGTCGCCACATCTGAACCTCCGTAATAATAGCCTGCATCTCCTTCTGGTAGGTGGACCAGGCCTCCTTAGATGGTGCCAGAGTCTTACTCATGAAGGCCACCGGATGCCTATCCTGTGATAACACCGCTCCAATGCCCCGGCCTGAAGCGTCTGCCTCGATAACAAAGGGCCGGGAGAAATCAGGCATAACCAGAGTCGGGGTAGTGGTCATGGCCTGCTTCAGCTGACAGAATGCCGCCTAGGCCTCCTCGTTCCACCCAAACCCGCCTTTCTTCAACAAATTAGTCAAAGGCCTGGCAATCATGCTGTAGCCCTGCACAAACTTCCTGTAATACCCTGTCAAACCCAGGAACCCTCGCAGTTCAGTGACAGTGGTCGGGGTTGGCCACTCCACCATGGCCTGTATCTTCTTCTGGTCCACCTGTACCCCCTGTGGTGTGACAATGTGCCCCAAATATTCTACCTTCTGGACTCCAAATGCACATTTCGAGGCCTTGAGGTAGTACTGGTGCTGCTGCAAAATCTCAAACACAGCCTGCAAATGCTGCAGATGGGCCTCCCATGTCGGGCTGTAAATAAGAATGTCATCAAAGAAAACCAGGACGTACCGGCGAAGCAGGGGCCGAAAGATGTCGTTCATAGCTGCCTGAAAGGTCGAGGGAGCGTTGCACAACTCGAACGGCATTACAAGGTACTCGTAATGACCGTTGTGGGTCCGGAAGGCTGTCTTGTGTGCATCCTCCTCCCGCATCCTGATCTGGTGGTAACCGGCCCTCAAGTCGAGCTTAGTGAAATAAGAGGACCCGTGCAGCTCGTCAAGCATGTCATCCACCGTCGGAATCGGGAAACGGTCCTTCACGGTTGCGGCGTTAAGAGCCCGGTAGTCAGTGCAAAACCGCCAGGTCCCATCCTTTTTCTTGACCAGAAGTACCGGCGAAGAAAAAGGACTAGTGCTAGGCCTAATCAGTCCAGTGGTCAGCATCTCAGTGACCTGGCGCTCAATCTCTTCCTTCTGCGAGTGCCCGTACCTGTAGGGTCGAACATTAACAGCTTCCACCCCCTCCTTCAACTGAATACCGTGATCCACCTGGCGATGAGGCGGAAGAGTGGTCGGTGCCTGGAAGATCATGGCGAAACGATCGAGGACGCGCTGCAGGTCGGGGGCCACGTCCGGCGCCTCTCCGGTCTCCACCGGCCAGCAAAGCACGGCGAAGTCCGCCTCCCCCATCTCGGCGCCATCATGGATGGAAATGGGCCCCATGGCAGTGGTAAGCCCCTGCAAGCACCGCTCCTTATCCCTCCACTTAAACCGCATGATCAACCGCTTCCAATCGGTGGTAGTCGCTCCCAAACTCTGCAGCCAAGGAATGCCCAGGATAATATCAAATCCCCTAATGGGCAGCACAAAAAAATCAGCAGTCACCGGCAGACCCTGAATATCCAGAGTAAGCCCTCGATAAACCGTGGTACATGGCATAGGCGCCCCATTCGCCACCCGAACCACCACCTTCTCCACTGTACTCGGCGCCATGGACAGAGCCTTGGCAAGCTCTGCACTGATAAAATTGAGCGAGGCCCCGCTATCCACCAACGTCAGAGCGGTGACCCCCCCCCCACTTGAGCCTGAAACCGCAGCGTGCCCTGCGTAGGAAGACCCATCGCGGAGTGGAGAGAGAGAGAGACCGCGTCGCCGGTCCCCTGCCCCTGTCCGCCGCCGCCATCCCGGCCGTCCAGCCCCTCGCCTCCGCCCGGCGGCGCGCGCCTCGCCTGTCGCCTCCATGGCCGCCTTGCGCTGCGCGCCTGCCTCCCCCTTCGCGCGGCCCTCGATCGCGCCCGCCCGCCTCACAGCCGCCGTCTCGCACGCAAGCCGCGGCGGGCCCGACGCACCGAAGACCGCCTCGGACGACTCGGCTGGCTCTTCCGCGGCCGCTGTCGTCCTGCCGTGTTCCTGAGCCTCCCGTTTGAGTTCAGACAACGTGAACTCGATCAGCTGCCTCGTGCGAACCCATGCTGGATCAGAGAGTTTCGAAGAACTCATGAGGGCTCTGATACCAAATGATAGATGCTTGTTGATCAGAAAGGGAATTAGGGATTGAGAGAAGAAGTAGATTAGGGATTTGAGAGAATTGGGGAAGAATCAGAGAAAGATAGGGATAGGGATTTCTGTTATTTCTTGCTTAATTCCCAAATGAGTGTACAGAACCCCTTTTTATAAGTTTAATGGAAAATAACAAAATGGCCACTCCTACTCTACCCAGCCGACCGGCCGACCCGCCCTCTCCCCTCTCACCCTCGGTTTCTATCATATTTGTATTATATTTTTCATTACTCCACCAACCATTTGCATAGAGAAAACTAACGCATTTTGCAACTTTCATACAATTAATAGTTTATAATTTACATCCTATTATCTTATGGACATTCGACGACATAGTAACCAATAATATTAGCGAAGAATATGATTTATTCTCCACCTATGGAAGTCAATAGTTACCGTGTAGTGCGCTTAGTAAATACGATGACTATTCGATAGTAAATAAGAAACACCATTTTCATGTGAAAATATGGTGCGAGTGATTCGGGTGATCCACTATCCACCCATCACTCACTCGATTAAGTGCATATAGGAGATTTATCAATTCACTATTCACCCACATTACTTACTCACACACTATGGTTTGAGTTGTTTGCGGATGGATCGAGGTCGCGGATCAACTACCCACATGCCCAACCCTAACCAAAATGATGAATGAGAGGAACCTAAGTTTAAGGTTTTCATCTAATTTTTGGTGTTATGATATGTGAACTTAGGTGGTAAACCCAAGCAGCCAAGCACAATGCTGACCAACAACAACTATAGATGATGCAAGACCTAACGTATGACCCCATCACCTTCATGTTTAGAGCAACCAGGTTGATTTTGGTAGGTGAGAAGTTAACCTCCACCAACTACAACGACTAGAGCAATGCTATGTACGACGCTTGGTGACAAGCTCGACTTTATCAATTGGATGATTTCAACACAAGATGATGAGAACCCTCTATTCTAGCCTTTAAGAATATTGATGGACCCAAATTTTCACCATCTATCAACCCTTACACATGGGTAAAAAAAATGCAAACAAATCCCTACGTGAAAAGATTAAGGATGTTTAATTACCTTCTTAACCAATTAACTTTTTAATTGGTGGTTCCTTTTCTCCCATTGAAGCCACCAATCCACTTCCCCAAAACAAATCTACAAGGAAGAGACAAATAATGCACCAAATGACCACCTCATGGCCACGTGTTCAAAGGTGAAAATTGAAGGGTTTGAGTTTAACTCCTCTTAACAACCCACCATTCCATTTTAATAGGCTGATAAATATTTGACACCTCATCAATTCCACTCTCCTCCATGAGTAAAAGCTATTAATTGGTGGATGGCTTGTAGCAAAATCCCATTAAGCTACACGTGGACCTGAGCTGGATTTGGATAATAAAAAAAATGCCTAACTCTTCTTACCACTTCACATATATGGAGAAGAAGTATAAGCTCTCAGGCAATCAAACATTATGATAGTTGTAGTGCTCATCTCTTTTATCCACCCAAGCCACCAAAACCACGTCCCTTTTTGCCTAGGTACTACACGTGGACAGGGTGAAGAGGAAGGTAAGTGGACAAAGTGGTTTGGTTCATATGTTCCTTTTTGCCATCAAATAAGTTAATTGAGGTAATAAGTTTGTTTGAAATGTGTTTGTGTTACTCCGCCAACCATTGCACATTAGGTTGGTGGTGAGATAAAAGTATTTTTTATATTATTTTATTTATCACACGCCATCCACGTTAAAAGCGTGAGGCACCTATAAATAGGACGCTCATTTATGTTTTCTCGGCAGTTCATTTTGGAGTTGAACTTCTAAATCTCTCTCAAGAGCCGGCTCAATATGCCGCTCCCGGTTACTCTCCTCTCAATACTGACTTGAGCTTCGGAGCAGGTCCCCGCCGACCACCGGCCGGCGGGTCCTTTTGTTTTGCAGGTGTCCATCTCGGAGGCTGGTGGTGGCGGACGTTGGACAGGAAGATAGGCGCTCACCGGACCTCAAACACATTGAAGCAGGCTCCTCGGAGCTTGGCATCAACAAATAAAGAATATCATGATCCTCATATTAGAAACAATGATCTCGGGCTCCCAAGTTAATGCATAAAATGAAGAATTTAGCTAGGTAAATTAGGGATTGGAAGGAGATTGGGAATGTAAATTTGGAAATTGAAGAGGGAAAGAGGAAGAAGAAGTTGCGGCAGTAGCTAGGAGAAAGAGAGGAAAAACTCGACAGGAGAGAGGGAGGAAGGAAGAGAGTAGGGTTTAGTGATTTTCGTTCTATAATTGCGTAATTAATGATCTTACTAATTATAGAATATATAACCTGATAAATTTCATTTTTCTACTCAAACAATATGACTTAACGAAATACTCCCTAATTATTCTAAAAATAGCAAAATAATCCATAAGTGTCACAACCGTCAATAAACGACAAATGAGTTCAAATGATTAAAATAGCAAATATCTGTGTTTCTAACATCCTGGCCTCCTTGAGAACAACCTTGACCTCAAGGTTGATCCTCCACGTCTTGGTTCTTCTTCCTTGCCTCCTTGGTCTGACGGTCTCATCCTCAGCTTCATCCTCCCAACGCCCCCAACAACATCATCAAGTCGGGCTAGCTCTCTGATGTCTGAAGGTGAATCTCTCGTTGCAGCTGACACACTTCCCTTCCCGCCTCTTCTGCTCGATCTCCGCTGGGGACAACCTGGTGAACCCCTTTGGAGGGGCTCAAGGTCCCAGTCGAGCTACACAGGGTGTCGTTGCGGCGGCGACCACTACACCTGCTCCTTCCGTCGTGGTCACTCTTCTTCTGCTAGTGGCCACAATACTGCTGCCATCTCCTCCATAAGCCTTTTGGTAGCATCCTATGGTGTTTCTCCAGCTGGCTATCTCATCCTCCTTGGACCTGCAAGTCTAAACTCCAGGCGTTAGCCTCAAAAACCTTGATCGCGGATGCTATCTCGAGTCGAAGATCCACCATACAAAGTCTCATTAGAGTCTCCTGGAGCACACCCTTTCACTAGTTGCCCAACTTGAGGAACTCTGTCCTGTACTAGGCTACCATCCCATTCTGTCGTAACTTAGCCAGCTGCTTCGGTGCCTAGCCCTCTAACTTACCAACTTGAAACCATAGCTCTTCTTGAACCCACAACTAGGTAATCAATGTTTTGGCATCAACATAGGATCTCTCCAACCATTCCCACCATTGCAGAGCATCCCCCTTAAGTACAAGGACGCAGATGCGCGTTTAGCTCTTTCCTCGTGGGATGGTTCTTGAACTACCTGTAAGGTGCATACAATCATAGACCCACATCATCTTGATCATTGAATTTTGAAAATTTAATGGTTGAAGGTTTGGCCCGGAATACACAGTCATCCTCACCATCATAGCCAAGTTTATAACCACCATACCTGTCAATGGCCCGAGTGCCACCGCAGTAGTCCCCAGGAAGCGGTGGTTTCCGATCCTAGAACCATGCATTCTCGGCATCCTTTGGATAGCTCGCATACCCGCCCATTGTAGCACGAGGCCCTTGCCTGACGTCAAACGTCCGGCCCAGTTGACGTCCCACAGCCTGAGGAGTTGAGAAAAGAGGTGTACCATACCCGCGTCTCCGAAAGGCCTTCTCCAGCTCGCAGACCCTCTGGTTCTGGTTGGAATGGATTGAACCCGATTCGACCATTCTCGATCCAACCGGCTCAATTTGGATTTAACCTCGTAGTACGATACGATTCTCTGCTCGGCCCCCCAGCCCGGTTGGAGTCCTGCTCGAACCATGCTCTCGATTGATCCACCAAGCTTAGCTCATATTCCTCTTGGGCTCGGTCTAGGTCCAACTAACTTAGCCCATTGTGGCTCCTCGCGGGGACCAGACTCCCCTTCCTGAGCCATCAGATCAATCAACCCACAACCAGAATTCTGGAACATGTTTTCGTATCGCGACATTTTGGACTTCCCATTTAGTGCAGCTACCTCATGGGTCGTCGGATTTTACCGCTATCCAGCCTCGTCGTGTGGCCCCAAAGAAATGTGGTCTGCATGTTCCAAGGTCATTCGGCCAAGATTAGGCGCCGCCGTACCCCCTGTCTCCCTTGTCGACGTGCTAAGCCTCCACTTTTGCATTTCTGCCGCGCTGTCACCGACGTCACCCGGCCGAAATTGGCTTCCCGATCTCGCTCGCCGCCTTCTCCGGACCTGCCACGGAGTTCATCTTGGCCAGTTACTCCTGGATGTTTGCGACCGACTGTGTGAAGCCACCCTTCTGATACTCCCTTGCATCCGCTCGCACCATTGGGAGTCTTTGCTCCAGTCTCATCTGTGCCTCGACCTGGCTTTACACTACTATCTTTAGCTCGTCGAGCTCCGTCACATCTTCCATGGCTCCATCCATCTCCTTCCCCTACGACGAGGAACTTTTCTCTTGTGCTTCCTGTCCTTGCGTCGCCACTGCTTCCTGACCAGCCTTCTCCGCCGCCTTTTCAGCTGCCTTTTTTACTTTGTTATTGCAATTGATCGTCTCTAATAGTCCCTGGTCGAGAGTTGTGATAGACTTGATCTCGAAACTAGGCTTTGATTCCGGAAGTTAGAAATCGGGATCTAGGGCTCCCGGCTTGATTTAGAAAATGGGAATTTAGGTAAAGGATTGATCTAACTAGGGATTTGAAGGAGATTGAGAATATAAAATTGGAAATTGAGGAAGGAAAGAGGAAGAAGAAGCTGCGACAGCAGCTAGGAGAAAGAGAGGAGAAACTCGACAGAGAGAGGGAGGAAGGAAGTTAGTACGCTTTAGTGATTTTTGTTATGTAATTTTCTAATTAATAAGCTAACTAATTACATAATATATAACCTGATTTTCCTACCCAACTAATATGACTAAATGAAATGCTCCCTAATTATTCCTAAAAATCCTCAGATAATCCCTAATAGTCACAAAACATTAATTAGTCCAAATAATTAAAATAGCAAATATTTGTTTTTCTAACACTTCAGCTGGGTAATAAAAGTTGTAGAACCTAGAATCAAGAAAACAATCATGTCGTTCAAACTTGCTTATGAAACATGAAAGAGCTTGAAAACACGTTATGGCCAGTGATATATGATGAGAGCGATGGAGTTAATAGAGGCACTCGATAATCTCAAACAAGGTGATCGATTCGTGACTAATTATTATGAAAGATTAATTACTTTTAAAGTTGAACGGAATAATTATCAACCTATAGAGCCTTGTGAATGCACCGTCACAAGTCACTTAGATTGTAAAGTCCCGAAGCTAGTGCTAGTGTACAAGGATATCAATTATATGATTCAGTTTCTAAGGGGCTTGAATGAGATAATAAATTAAGAGTAACATTTAGTCAATGTGGTAAAATATGGAATGTTTCCGTTTCGTTTTGAGAAAAAAGGAAAAATGATAGAAGGGGCCCAATCAGCACTGGCAGGCAGCAATTCAAATAAGAATAAAGTTTGTTGGCACCTCTAGAGACAGAATAACTAATTTACGCATTTTCCCCCATTTATTCATGAAAATTTGAACTTATTCATGCCATGTTTGCGTTATTCACGTAAGAGTGTTCATTATTCATGCAACCAATACTGTTAGGTTACGCAACATGGTGTTTATTCACGTATATTAATATTTATTAACGCTGTTGTAAAATTGACTCGTTCTAACTACAACATCCCAATCGACGGCAAAGTATAACCGCCGACCGGGTATAGCATAGGGCAAGCAAGCAATAAGAATTTATTGTACCATGGGGATCTAGGCTTACCCTACTTCAGGTTTAGGGTTCGGTATCTAGCCAACATAGGGTGGTGATTAGAAGAATTAAACTAACTAACCTAGCTAACCACTAACCTAGCTATTTACAAGGTTTGGAGCTCTCTTGGGTTGAATCGTCCTAGGTCGTTCTTTGGATCAATGTTGGGTATCCTCCTAGTTCGATTGACTCAAATACACTACCGTTTAGAGATGGACTCCCTCGGGAGTGACCCGAAACGACGAATCCATGGATGGGTAGTACTCATTCAACCTAGGGTTTCGTATAATGTTAGGAGACCGGTCGAATAAAATCCCTCGGGGACTACTAGGGCAATATACGATAAGAGAGACCCGAAGACGCCAAAAGGGGCTCTAAGGGGATTATCTTCATCCTAGGTCAAAAACTCAATACATGAAAATGGAAACCCAACTAATGCCAATCATGAAAACATCCATCAATTAAGTAAAATCGTCAATCAATCATGGAGTTTGTCACATACATCAACATTAAATCCAAATCTTGACCTAGGGTTCTCAAAACCAAGAGTGGAGGGTGAGTTTCTAGAGAGAGAAGAGAGGGATTACAAATTTGAGCTCAAGATCTTCTTCTTCTTCTTCTTCTAGGCTTGAATCCTTGTCTTCAAGATCAATCCAAGCCTCCAATGAAGCTCCAAGATCACTCTAGCACACACTCTCTCTCTCTCTCTCTCTCTCTCTCTCACTAGAACTCCCCTTTTGGTGTTTTGGGCAAACCCTAGAGAGGGAATTAAATTTCTCTCCAAAAACCAGCTCCCCTTTCTCTCTCCCCTCTGTCATCTTCATATTTCCCCGAAAGTGACCAGTTCACGTACGCGTTGGCCAGTTCACAGCCATGAATACCTAACGCATCCGTGAACTCAGTCGTCTCCAAAACGCACCGCTTCACTCTCCTGGGATCACGGTTAATGGCCCCAGTTCACGGTCTTAGCGACCGTGAACTCCCTTGGCTACGGTGAACTCCCTGGAGTCAGTAACCTCTGAAACCTCGCTGGACTGCTCGATGTTCACGGTTTGAGGCTCCAGTTCACGGTCTTAGGAGACCGTGAACTCCCTTGTTTGACCGTGAACTGCGCCTGCTTCCTGGACGCATGCACTTCACTGTTACGGGGCAATTGTCACGGTCGGAATTTTCTTTGATTTTTGCGCTTTTTAACCTCCAATTATCGCAAAATTCGACCTCGACCCTTCCACACGTGCTAGGACCTGAAATATATCAAAACAAGCACAACCTATCGTGAAATATATCGAGGGACTATGAAATACTAAGCTAAATGAATAAAAAAATGAGAGGTAAAATGTGTACATTTGAGTCCGAATCAAAAATCAAATTTTAAACTTTGAAATATATCAAAATAGATGTCATTATGTAGAGATCATGATCAATGCAACACATTTTTACATATTAATTGAAAATCCAAATTTAATTACATAAAATATAGCAAATACGATTTATTAGGGAAAAAGTCTAATTTTTTATTTAGGTAAATAACTTATACTATTACTTGAATAACCATAATATTATATAAATAAGCACCAAATGACGTTAATGAATATAAAAATACGTGAAAAAATTGGTCTTGTGTGTTTTTGTTTCAGAGGTGATAAGAGAACCTTTTGTTCAAATAATTGTACGTATGTACATGCATGTCCTCCACGTGACTCACAGCAATTCACCTCTCCTCCTCTCCAATATTTTACTCATCCACTTTCCAAAACAAATTCCCTAATTTGTCCAATTCTAATGGATTTAAAATGAATGAGAGCGACCTGTCAAAAAAATTAATGAGAACTCATACTTGCCATTACCGCTTTTGTGTTACAGCTAAGCCAATAATAAACGTCTTCGGTTTTCAGAAAACCAGGGATTCGGCATGTCAAAAAGTTGCTCGAGCCTTTGCTACTGGTTTGTAGCACTACGAGGTCGTGTTTATTGGACTATTTTGAACTAAGGTGTGGTTGTTGATTGAATTTGGGTTATGAGTAGGTAAATATTTTGTTATCTGAACGTACGTATTTTATTTGATTAAAATTTTAGTATTTGTATTATTGTCAAGTCGTTTTATTTTTTTTCATTTATTTGATGTCTCTCGTACTAAATACATATAAAATCCGTATATTACGTTTAATATTCGTATTTAATGAATTGAATTGTTAACTTAACTATTATTTATATATTAATTTATTTATAAAATAATTGATTTTATATATTTTATGACGTACTATTAAATGTATCATTATTTTATGACGTACTATGAAGTGAAATCCATCTAGCTAGAATTAAGGATCGTCAAACTGATTGATGAGGTGACGAAAAAGTCAACGTTAAGATATTTTATATTGAAGTTTTGATTTAATTGTAGTTTAATTGCTTCACATACTGCAACACAATCGTCAACTTATTTAACTTTCGATAGAAAGTTTTCTCGACCGGAATACCAATACGATACGAATACGAGTACTGTGTAGAATAGAATAAGGACTCACTTGAACCCTTAAATTAGCTGTTTGGGAGAAAAAAAAAATTAATATTTTTGTCAACATTCAATAGACTAATATTTATTATTATAAAATTCACCAAAGAATGATTAGTCTAAAATTAACACCCACACAACTAAATTCTACTTCTCTCGTTGCTTACCTTTACTAAAAGAATTCTCGTTATTTTAAGTTGAATATAATATAATATTTTATTAATCATACATTACATATGAAATTCTCCATGGGCAACCTTTTCAAAATATAAAAGTCCATGATACTTTTTATGCCGGAACTCCCTTTATCAAATCATGGCTACGATATTGTTGACAAATATCAAGTTCGAGAAGTTCACAAATTTGTAAATCTAATATCTTAGGTTGAGATTTGTAAATCCTGTAATAGCTAGTGCTCTATGCAACAAATCTATCAAAATATACTATCCAAATCTATAATGCAAACAATAAAATTTTAAAATTCATAATGTAACAAAAACATGTTGAATTCAAGCTTTTTTTTTGTTACAATCTTAATTATTCAATTTTGTTATAATCTTAATTTTTTAAATTCAACATGCAAATGGAATAAAAAAATTCGTGATCACTCATAAGTCATAACAAAAACTAGACCATAACAAATATTAAAAATTAAGGAAAAATCGACTTTACTAAACTACGTCCAAAACCGGGCCAGAATCCAGAACAACTGCTCCCCCTGAAAACCATTAAATTAAATGATAGCTATATATATATTTTTTGACATGAGGTGCAACTTGCAAGATTTGGGTTGTGTAATGTTTGACGTTTTTTTGACCGTTGTTTTCTTGCAGTCCACTTTATTAAGAACCAAACAGAGATAGTAGAAGGGATTCCCCTTTTGGTTCCCAGCATAAGTTGAATACTTGAACTTTATCCAACCCGATCGTATCAATTCACGGTTAAAACCAATGTTGTCATAACCGAATCGGAGCATGACCCGGTAATGCGAACGGCTCGCACTTTAGTGGTCCAACCGGCATTAGACCGTTTAAAAACCGTTAGAGAACCGGTACCTAATATACGTTATCAGTATAAATAGTGGACATTTATTAATCAGAGCTCATCTCTTTCCTTCGAAATTGTGAAATGGAAATAAGGATTCAGTTTGAGAGCCCTACGTTTTTTGTTTATTTCAATTTTCAATTTTCTGTAATTTTTTTAATTAAATTTAGTGGCTGAATGACAAAAACCGGACCAACGGCTCAATCGGCTCGAACGGTTAACCGCCTTGGCCGCTCGCCAACCGCTACATAAAACCGGAACGGCTTTTAGACTGTTTCGAGCCGGTTTTATGACCGGGTGGCGGTTTTACCGGTCGGGCCGAGCGGCTCGGCTTTAATAACACGGGTTAAAACTTTTTTCCCACACTTTGTGAAAAAAAAAAAAAAATACTTACCGCCCCTTGAGCCTCAAGTACTGGTCAACAAATTTGAGTTCAATCACTATTACCTCATTCAAATATTTGCCAGTTATAGGCTAGCTCAAACAATTCACTACTTGCGTAGCTAATAACTCGGCTCTTGGCATTCAAGTAATTCTTTTTTATTTTTCAATCTCTCAAAAGAGTAATTTTGTTCAAATCGTATAAGAAATTACTATTGCTACAAAGTATTGGAACTTTCTTGCATTGAAATCCTGAACTGAATATAGGGTTTTCCCCTAGGGATAGCAACTTTGCCCATACCCATGGGTTTTTTACTATTCAACCCAATTGGGTTGGGTTTGAAATCCAAATAAATGGATATGGGTAGAGTTTGATGGGTTTGTACCCATACCCATTTACTTTGGGTTGAGTTGGGTTTATATCAAATGGATTTGGGTTTGTACTCATGCCCAAATACAAATTACAGTTTGGTACCCAAACTTAATAGACATGCATATTTAGTAGGGGTGTTCAAACGGTTTGGTTACCATGGTAACCGTTTTAACCGGTACTATTTGGATAATTTGGTTTGGTTAATTTGGATATTTAGTTTGGTTAAAGTTTTTAGCTTGTTTGGTTTAGGTGGTTTGGTTTGGTTTCAGACACTCCTAACCAGTCAAATCAAAATAACCAGTTAAGTAATTAGTCATATATCTAACATATATTATATACACATACTTAATACTTTGCATAACCACTCAAGATTTAACGTTCATCCCTTTCATACTCATAAAATATAAAGCTCAATATTGCTCATATAGTGTATATTTATATATGTAAAATGTAGACCACAACATATGGACGCCTAATTTAGATAATTGCTAAGAGACTAAGTCAATTTACACAAACACAAAAATTCATTAACCCATACCATTGTCATAAATTTTTGTTAGGTGAATACTATCAATTACCAGTTGCTCCCAATAACTCGAGTTGTTGGGAGAGGTTCAATCATGGATCATATACCACAACACTAACACGCCCCCTCAAACGAAAGACACTCACAAGGGCTTGAAGTTTGCACAGGTCTGAAGACAAGAATACCATGTGCTTAACAAATGGGGGTCACAAATCGAACACAAGACCTCTCGGTCACAGAAGGCTCTGATACCATGTCAAGAACCAGTTGCTCCCAATAACTCGAGTTGTTGGGAGAGGTTCAATCATAGATCATATACCACAACACTAACAAATACTTCTATACTAATCGTAAGATAATTGTCTTAGTTGCATGTATTTTTGTTAAGGGTCAACTATAACTACGTGTTGGTTGTTATGTTTTATTCATTATATAAATTGCGAATTGTTGCATTAACCGAAAAAATTTCCATCGTCAATGATAATGTGATTTTATATTGGTTAATCTGGTTAACCAATTAACCAAACCGATTAAACTTTAGTTTGGTTAATTTGGTTGTTGTATTAGTTTGGACGGTTTGGTTATGATATTATCTTCCATGGTTAATAAAATTTAGTCTTATTTGGTTTGGTTATAACCATGGTAACCATTTGAACACCCCTAATATTTAGTACCTAAATTTAATTTTTTTTGCATATAAGTCTTAAAAATATTGATGGAAAATTACGTTTTGGTACCTAAATATTTTTGGTCTTACATTTTGGTACCTAAACTTTTCAAGTTTTGCAAATAGGTCCAATTTTTGCATGTGTAGTTAAAACACCCTCAAGTAAATGGATATCCATATCCAACCCATACCCATTTGGATTATGTAAGCCCCAAACCCAAACTCATCTATAAACCTCAAATCCATATGCACTTCACCCATACCCAACCCATTATCGATGTGTCTACTTGGGTTTGGGTATAATTACCCATGGGTGGGTAATTTGCCATCCCTATTTTCCCCCTTCTTTTCAAATGAATTTGTTTTTTGTATTGGAAACATCATAATAGGTGTTTTTTCCCCCACATGGTGATGGGCAGACATTTTTTTAATTGTCTCTATACAATTTTAACAATTAAATACATATAGTAAAATTTATGTAAAAATTGTCTAAACATTTGATAATCAGCTTGTAGCGATACAATCAAATCAAATAAATGTCTATGACAAAAAAAACTAAAAATGAGACGGGAGCCAAAATCTTGCTTACTCATCGTGGCAAACAAATGCACGGTTCATGCAACATGTACTCACATGCCAGTGTCAAGCAAATACCAATTTACCATACGTGGTAAATACCATGAATTGTATTGGAACAAGAGTAAAAATTAGTTAGACACCTGTTATTTTAATCAAACAAACCCTACATAATCATCACTAAACTACGCTTAACCCCCTTTCTACTCCCCAAACTGTTATTTTTAGCACGTTTCGTCCTTGATTATTTGTTCAGTACCCGCCAAGCCATCCATAATTATCCACACGCCCAGACGGCTCTAAAATTAATCCCACTTACGTATTCCCCAAACCAAACCAAACCACAACCGCCGCTGGTAATTAATTCCGCTACACAGCCAGCTATGGTATCACAAGAACCACCACTACTCCCACGCCGCCTTCCTCGCTTTTTCTTTTTCTTCCTCCTTCCTATAACTATAAATATCCAGCCCTTCCCTCCTTCTCTTCACAGCTCTCTCCTTCCTACACATCACACGAAACGCCTTTCTGATTCGTCCCCGCCTCCGCCTGTCCTTTTCTCCCCGAAAACAGAAGAAAGCTAGCAAATTAAACCTTCGATCGATCGATCAGCCATGGACACTAAGATCGGATCAATCGACGCCTGCATCCCCAACCGCACTGACATGTGCTCCGCCGCGAACGGCGCCGTTTCCACCATCCAGAACTCCATCCCGACCTCCGTCGCCAAGAATCCCGAGGCCACGCTCGGCCGCCACCTGGCCCGACGCCTCGTCCAGGTCGGCATCACCGACGTCTTCACCGTCCCCGGCGATTTCAACCTCACTCTCCTCGACCATCTCATCGCCGAGCCCGGACTCACCAACATTGGCTGCTGCAACGAGCTCAACGCCGGATACGCCGCCGACGGCTACGCTCGCTCCCGCGGCGTCGGCGCCTGCGTCGTCACCTTCACCGTCGGCGGTCTCAGCGTTCTCAACGCCATCGCCGGGGCTTACAGCGAGAATCTCCCCGTCATTTGCATCGTCGGAGGCCCTAACTCCAACGATTACGGAACCAACAGGATTCTCCACCACACCATTGGCCTCCCCGATTTCACTCAGGAGCTCCGATGCTTCCAGACCGTCACCTGCTTCCAGGTATTATTCCAATTTCAATATTAATCAACAAATATCTCCTGATTTCAGCGATAATGGTGAACCTTGTTCGGTATAATTTTGCTCACTGCTCTGCTTTTTGTTTGTTTCCCTCTTTGATTGTTTGGGGCAGGCTGTGGTGAATAACTTGGAAGATGCTCATGAGCTGATAGACACAGCGATTTCCACTGCTTTGAAAGAGAGCAAGCCTGTTTACATTAGCATCGGCTGCAATTTGCCCGGAATTCCTCACCCCACCTTCAGCCGAGACCCCGTTCCCTTCTCTCTCAATCCACGGTAGTTCGCCCTCTCTCTCTCCCCAACTCTGCATTCGATTGCTCTGTTTTTTGCTAATGTTAGGGTTTAATCTCTTGTATGATTTCTGCTTCGGTAGATTGAGCAATCAGCGGGGGCTGGAGGCCGCAATCGAAGCAGCTGCGAAGTTTCTGAACAAGGCGGTGAAGCCAGTTTTGGTCGGCGGGCCCAAACTTCGGGTGGCCAAGGCATGCGATGCTTTCGTCGAGCTGGCGGATGCTTCTGGCTATGCTCTAGCCGTGATGCCCTCCGGGAAAGGGCTAGTCCCAGAGCACCATCCTCGTTTCATCGGGACCTACTGGGGCGCGGTCAGCACGGCCTTCTGTGCCGAGATTGTTGAATCGGCGGATGCTTACTTGTTCGCCGGGCCCATCTTCAATGACTACAGCTCTGTTGGTTACTCGTTGCTTCTCAAGAAGGAGAAGGCGATTGTTGTGCAGCCTGATCGCGTGGTGATTGCCAACGGCCCGGCATTTGGATGTGTTCTGATGAAGGATTTCCTGCAAGGGCTTGCTAAGAAGCTCGAGAAGAACACTACCGCGTATGAGAACTACCATAGGATCTTTGTCCCCGAGGGAGTTCCTCTCAAGGGTGAGCCTAAGGAGCCTTTGAGGGTGAATGTGCTGTTCCAGCACATACAGAAGATGCTCTCTGGTGAGACTGCTGTGATTGCTGAGACAGGAGACTCCTGGTTCAATTGCCAGAAGCTTAAATTGCCCGAGGGATGCGGGTAAGCAATCAAATTCCTTCTTTCTTGTAAGTAGTTTTGGGCTGTTTCGACCTAAGAGAATCATTGGGTTTTTGGATTTTCAGGTATGAATTTCAGATGCAGTATGGTTCAATAGGTTGGTCAGTTGGTGCTACTCTTGGATATGCTCAAGCTGTGCCGGAGAAGCGTGTGATTGCTTGCATTGGTGATGGTAGCTTTCAGGTATGCAACTGAGACCAATTATATATTGTCCCTGGAAGTCCAGTGGTTTGAAGTAGGTCGGGAATTAACCTTTGTGCCTCATGGGTGTGTGCATGATTGACAGGTGACTGCGCAAGATATTTCAACGATGATTAGAAATGAGCAGAAGACTATCATATTCCTGATCAACAATGGTGGGTACACCATCGAGGTCGAGATCCACGATGGTCCGTACAATGTGATCAAGAACTGGAACTACACCGGGTTGGTTGATGCAATTCATAACGGTGAAGGCAATGTCTGGACAACTAAGGTGAGATCTTATTAATTAAGTTATCAAATCGAACACAGCTTTCTATTGAACAGGGCATTTTACCTGACCATGTTTCCCCAAACTGTTCCAACAGGTATACTGTGAAGAGGAGTTGATTGACGCCATTGAGACGGCTACAGGAGAAAAGAAGGATAGCTTGTGCTTCATTGAGGTGATTGTTCACAAGGATGACACCAGCAAAGAACTGTTGGAATGGGGCTCCAGAGTCTCCGCTGCAAACAGCCGCCCACCCAACCCACAGTAGAAGAAGAAGAAGAAGTTGATATAGCAACTTGAAATGTGGTCGTATTGGAGAGAAGATTTGCAGTGTGTCAATTCTAGTAGTTTCCTTTCACGTTGAGAATTCACAATATTAGTTTGATTGCAGTATTGGTTTTTCCCCGTCTCTCAAAAGAAAAAAGTTCTATGTAGATTCCTTCTTTCCTTCCTATGGATTTAACCGTTCGTTAATGCGAGAGGACCTCTGTTCTGGCTTTATTCATATTGTTTTACCTTCTCGAGTCTCGACACGTGTCTGTTCTGCACATATCCAGCTCACTTCAAATATACTGGAAAATTCCTTGACAAGTGCGTGGCGAAATTTCTTCGATCAGCCTTCGTGGGCTTTGCCTCAATTGATATCAAGAAGGTGGGCTGGGTCTTTTACTCTTTTTGATGTGTTTATGGGCCCAAGTCTTTTTATGTTTATGGTTCATTCAAATGACAAAAAAAAAAAAACAAAAAAAAAAAAAACAAAAACAACAACAACAACAACAAAAAAATGGTTCATTTAGAATGCAAGAATAAGTTGAGGGATAGGTCCAACTTAGGTTACAGTGTACCAAGGTTGTCAAACCGGTTTATACCGTTGTGCCGGTTTGGCAAGCGGAATGGTACGACCGGTGGTATAACCAGTTTGTGCCGGTTCATGCCGGTCTAAAAAAATGTGAAAACAATTAATATCCAATATATTTAATCATATATAAAACATTTTTGTGGACAATTTAGTTACAATCCAACAAATATCATCAACTTTTAACTATTACATTCATAAAATGAATAATAAATTATTATTTTTATTCATTAAATTCATTAAAATGATGTCATTTTACTTAGAATGCGTAAGTCGATCATACCGGTCATACCGGTGGTGTCATGCCGGTTTCATGACCGGCACAGGTTGAACCAGGTTCAACCGGGTGGCATGCCACCGACATGACAACCATGCAGTGTACACACACCCCGGCGCATGTTCTAGTTCGCAGAAACGCGAATTACTTACAAAATGTCCGAAATTCACGGATTTAATATTGTTGGAGCACGAACTATTGAATTAAAAGCGCGACTTTTTTGGGTGATCATCTTTTTCAGATGGAATTGGCAGGGAAGAAAATATGAAGCATAATAGCTATGAAGATCACCATCGATGAAGAACCAGAAGATCCTGCAGCCGTTTCAGGATGAAGAGGCGGGTCAATCGAGTCGGGCTTCCTTTCACCCGACTCGGCTAAGAAAATCGAGTGAATAGTTGGATACCCGATTTTAGTATTTTTAAATTTTTATTTTTTCCTCCCATTGAGAATGATAATTGAACCCAAACTCATGGTATTGACGAGTTTTGTATCGAGAGCAAGTTTTATACGCTTTTTTAGTTGGTAGGTTGGGTCGAGTGTGAATTTGTTAAAAACTCGATTCGACCCGGTCAAAACAAGCTGAACAAGGCGTTGACGAGTTTTTGATCGAGAGGGAGTTTTATCTATTTTAATATTTTTTTATCTCCTTTTCCTTTTGGTTGAGAATGACAATTGAACCCGGACCCAGTGTTGATGAGTTGTACAACCCTTTGAAAACCATACCATATATGCTTTGTGTTGCCGAATTTTGCATCGAGACTGAGTTTCATATTCTTTTGTATTTTCTTATCTCTCTTTTTCTTTTGGTTAAGCATGTCAATTGAATTCAAACTCATGGGTATCCAACAAAATTTGTCCAGTTAAAAGCGACTTTGAACTCCACTTTAGAATTTTTAAATTTCTTTTTTTTCCCTTTCCTTGAGAATGATAAGTGAATCCAACCCCATGGTATTGACGAGTTTCGTATCGAGAGCAATTTTTATACGCTTTTGTAGTTAATAGGTTGGGTTGAGTGTGAATTTGTTAAAAACTCGATTCAAGTCGGTCAAAGTAAGCTGAACACGGTGTTGACGAATTTTTGATCGAGAGCGAGTTTTATCTTCTTTAATATTTTTTATTTTGCCTTTTCATTCTAGTTGAGATGACAATTGAACCCGGACCAGGTGCTGCCGAGTTTTGTATAGAGAGCGAGTTTTAAGTGATTTTAGAATTGACATGTTAAGCCGAGTGTGAATTATTAAAAACTCGGTTCGAACCAGTCAATGCAAGTTCAACTTGATCTGTAGAGTTTTTGGTAGGGAGTGAGTATATCCGCTTTAGTGCTTTTTCATTTATCCTTTTCCTTTTGGTTGAGAACCCAAACCTATGGGTATTTTGTAATTCGGGACGGTTATGAATTTTATACAAACTTGGTTCAAGCTGATCAAAGAGAGTTGAACATGATGTTGCCGAATTTTGGATCGTGAATGAGTTTTATTTGCTTTAGTGTCTGTTTATTTCTCCTTTTTTTTGTTGCGAATGAAATTGAAACCAAAACCCATGGGTATTCAACCTAAATCGACCCGACCAAACTGAGTTGAACCTCCTAAAACCTGCAATTAATCCCCAAAATCCATAAAAAAGAGAATCAAGATGAACTTAAAAAAACAAAGAAAAAAATACATACTAGAGAGAATATTAAACATAGAAATCATTTGTTCAATGACGCTTCTCCCTTATTAAAATTCATCGCTGCGTCGACTGCATGGAGTTGTAGATAACAAGCTCTTTATTTTCGGGTCAAAATTCAAACTATCAATATTTAAAATATCACGTTCTCGCTCAACTCGAAGCGATAGCGAGATGGCTTATACTAATTAAGATAGAAACAAGACTCTTAGATGCCTAGCTTTTAACCCAAACACCACTACAGGAGAGAACATCTACTAAACTCTACTAATGAAGTTGACGCATGAGCGTCGAGGTAGAAAGAGAGAGACTAGGTTTAGGGGTTTTCTTCTTCTAATTCTCTTATTTTATAACTAGCTTTTTATCCGGTTCGTTGGCCGGTGAAATTTATTTTATAATTTATATTAATCAACTTATGGGTAATGTCTATTTTTTATCTAAATCTTTTTCAGATTCTTTTATTTATCCAAACCTATTAAAATTCTATTAATTATCCAAATCTTTCACAATGCATCAAAATATTAGCCATTTTTACGTTATCGTTAATAATTTTGTAACTCTTTTCTTAGTTAAAATCAATGCAGTCAAAAGCGCGATTCTACCTAGAAACGGAAAAGGAGTAAAATCGTAAAGCGTAGAATTAAAGCGTAAAAGCGTAAGTTTTTTACTCATACTGAAAAATAACTAAAAATCTATTGAGTAGGACATATACTATGCAAAATATGAATACACAGAATTTAGATAAGTTAATAAATACATGCGATTCATGTTTAAAGTAGAGCAACTTATAGCATCTTAATAATAAGTTCGTATACATAAATTTTAACAATAAGCCACTTTTCCATTTATGCTAATGAATTTGGGAGAACCCTAGCTAGTGAATTAGATTACTCTATTGAAGTTGAGAATGCATCCAAGTACCTAGTATGTATCTTTTAATCTCAAATGTATCATATTGTTAGTGATTTACTTTAAAAATATACTTTTTATAATTAATTTCATGAAAAGAATACTCATTTAGTGAACTAAAAGCGTAAAAACGTAAAGCGTTTTGGTGAACTAGAACCGTAAAACCGTAAGTTTTTAAGCTTTAAAGCGCAATTTAGTCTGATTTTATACACTTAAGTTTTTATACGGAAACGAAAGCGTTTTGGTGACCCGAAAGCGTAAAATCGTAAGTTTTTAAGTTTTAAAGCGCGATTTTGACTGCATTGGTTAAAATATTTAAATTTTGAAATGTCGATCTTCATGAGTCTCTTCCAAGTCAGTATCATGTTCCCAAATCAATATTACTAACAAAATTGCCAATTGGAAGTTAATATTTGGTTAATTCTTAGTATTTCGATAGGTTTGGATAATATAAAATAATTTGAAAAAAGTTTGGATAAAAAATAGACATTACTCTTAACTTATTTATATGTTTAAATCATTTTGGATCTTTTATTGGATTATTGATTCATAATAGAGTTTGTAGTATGTTTATATTGAAAATTTCCAATATTTAGCACACTCACTTGTCACTTCTCATTTAGAACTTATATCAAACTTTGTAAATCAAAACACTAATATTTAGCGTATGTCAACCCGAACCACACACACTCACATATATATATGGTGCCTTCTATCATACCGTCGGTAAATTCTAGGGTACGACATACCCTTAGTAAGAAAATGCTATCTAAACCTCGAATTAACTGGATTTTGAGGTATTATACTATACCCTAACCCTGGATGTTATATAAACCATAGACCCTAAACCCTAGGATTGTGCACGTAATTTGTTGCATTCCCCTTCCCGTGCATCTTATACCTATATATTTTTGTGTGGGGTAGCCAATCCAAGGGGGTGCAGCCGACCTCCCTTGGTTGGTTGTGGCTCCGCCACTGCACACATGACTCCTTGGTTACTCGCGGTACTAGGAATTGGGCTTGGGATGGCGGGCTGAACGACGTGGAACGCTCGTATACGCATAAGAAGGGCTTGGGATACGGTCAGTAACCAATGAGTAACTAAATTTCCACCTCTCGATTTATGTGGGCCCAGAAAATCTAGATCTAAGGGTTGTGACTTAAAGGCATTTTATTTTCCCTAGTTTTCTTAATCGGCTCTTATCTTATTCATTCTAACTCGAATTTCAATTTTTTTTTTTGCACAGATGGAACGAGTTCGTTGTACTCTACAAAATGAGATCAATTTTCAATATATTTTGAGAATTTTTTTCATACCTCCTGTTACCAACTACATACCATATGGTAACTTCTTCATTTTTAAGTCGTTTTTGAAAATATTTGCTCAAAAGGAACGAGCTCATCATGATCTATTGGATCTACAAATTTCTGGGTGAAAAAAATACAGGATAAAAAATACCATACTTTACCACTATGGTATGGGGGTGGTAACTTGTGGTAAACAATGATGAAAGTCATAAATGACAGTTAATATACTCCTACTATCATGTATTCAACCTTCCTACAGTCTTGATATGTTCATACTATCGTGGTACGCTTTCTTACCATATGGTATTAAATAGGAGCATACCATATGGTATTGAGTCTACTGACCGGTAAAAAATGACTCAATTTTTTTTTGTTCTAAAAATATATCAAAGTGGATATCATTTTAAAGAGTACAATTAATTCGATTTATCTGTGCAAAAAATTAAATTATGACTTAAAACAAGAGAGAAATCGTCTGTTAATGATTAACGGGGAAAAGATAAAAAAAATTTCATGAGAGAGAGGGATACTGATGTGAACGGGTTACTCACCCTAAGGTTACTGACCTGATACGCTCCCCATCAGAAATTCAGTGATCAGATGGCCTATTAGAGCCACATTGAACACTTGCGATAAAAGCTATGCATTCATGCTATCAAATGCTAGTGAGATAGCGGTGGCTAGTGGCATGAATAGGGAGGGAGATAGATGGCAACAAAGTGACCGCATGGTTGGTCAATAGGGCTGTCAACCCGCGGTTGACCCGCGGGTCGACCCACTTTGATCCTGACCTGGTGAGAAAAACGGGCCGCAAGCACCCATCGGGTCGACCGCTACAAGGTACCGGGTTGGAGGTCAAATTGTGTCATTTTTTCTTTGGTTTGCGAAATGCGCTATTTTCAAAATTTTCTTTTCTCCTAACTCAATCTTTGGAATTCTAAGTTGAACATTTGAATATTGATGTTATATAAGTGTGTATGAATTTTCACTATATGTTGGTTCTTAGTACGTCATGTTATTTTGGTGGAATATTATATGTTAGAACTCATATGTTAGATGGGATTTGATATATTTATCAGGATAAGTACAATATAATGAATCTTTCCGTATTTCCGGGCAAAATCGGACTAAAACGGGTGACCCATTAACCCTTGACCACTAGCTCGATCGGGTCCGGATTAGCCCGCAGGTTGACAACCTTGTTGTAAGGTTCAAACAACAAAAACACACAGAGAGAAGTCAACCTGGAAAATGCGTGCCCGAAATCTTGAGAAGGCGATTGCATAGGCTCAAGATAGGGTGCATAACCCACTAAATCTGGAACCTTCATTTAGAAAATCCAGGTCTAAGGATGGAGAATTAAAGACCATTTTTATTTTCCCTAGCTTTCTTAATCGGCACATATCTTCTTCATTTTTACTTGGATTTTAATTTTTTTTTGCACAGATGGAACGAGTTCATTGTGCTCTACAAAATTATATCAATTTTCAATATTTTTTGAGAAAAAATTCTTGCCTCTCGGTACCAACTGCATACCATATGGTATTTTCTTGTTTTTAATTCGTTTTTGAAAACGTTTGCATAGAAGGGACGAGTTACACCCTGGAATTTAACCAGGCAATGAAATAAAAGAAACGAATCGCAGTCGTGTACAAATTAAGAGCCTTTCTAGTCACCAAATGGGCTACCCTGTTACTACACCGACTTACAAACCGAACACTAAACCCACTATGGTTTGATAAGCAATGCATAACTTCATCCATAAGGGCTCCAATTCGACTGTCACTCTTATCAACCTGCTTGAGTTTGTCAATAAGCACCTTGGCATCCCCTTCAAATCGCATCTCCTTAAATCCTGACGCCAGCCCACACACCAAAGTATTGCCTCCCGAAGCAAGAGGGCCTCAGCAATCAATGGCTCCACAATCCCAACAAACTGAACACCCCGAGCTAGAATAGCTGCCCCTTCCTAGGTCATA